AGGTCATCTCTGCCGACGTCGTTGGATTGAACAATGGACGCGCTGATAAACGGCTAGAATGGAATCACCCATGTATTCGTCATGGAATTTGAGTCCGATCAGGACAGAGAGTATTATCTCACCAAAGACCCCGCGCATCTAGGCTTCGTCAAGACCCTGGATGGTCTGATCGAAAAGTCCCAGGTGGTCGATTTCACCGAGGGGGTCTTCTAATCCTTCGCAGACATGATGACCTCAAATATACTAAACCGGTATAATTGCGCAAGAATAGAGACGAAAACATGAATGTACATATGATGCAGCAAGCGAAGAAATCAACTTTTAGTGATGTTCTGAATCTGTTCGATTTTCCGACCGTTGCGTCGCCGCCAACATTGCGGACATGGTTATCTCTAATCCAGCCTCTCCTCCGGCGTAAGGATCCAGCTGGGCAAACACAACGCCGCAGTCACCGTGGCAAGAACTAGCTCATTAGCGAATGTCCGCACAGGGAGAGGTATAATTACCTGGTATGAACTGATATCCGTACTGCAGACTCGATCGGACAACCGCCTGCATACCCTCCGGCAGCGTATCGACATACCGTGCGTCACTGAGAACTTGGCGGGCAATCTATGTCTGTTAGACTGCGACAAACCACTACACTGTGAAACATACTTCTGGGGTCCTCGGACCAAACTTTCCGGCAATATCCTGCATAAATCCCATCCGCACCAGCAGCGGTGCGATGGATCCGCCAAGAATCACCCCCAACTGTTGGCTGAGATAGTATGCCCCTACACACGAGGCCATGTCTTCCGCTGGTGCACGACCGGTCATGCCAACAAACTCTCCCGAAATGATGATACCGATGGGTGTACTCATCGGAATGACGAGGAGCGTTTCCCAGACGGGGCGATCGAAATGCAACGAGAAGAATAGCAGAGTGGATGCAACTATGCTAATCGCGGCGGACCCGAGGCTCATAGTCTTATACCGTTTGGTTCTAGATCAATTAGGACAAGCAACTGGACAGGTATACTGTGACTGACCGTTTGATGGAGAACCCCGAAATGATCGAGCCCATCGCTAGAGCCATGGTGCTCAGAACGAGGAAGAAAGTTGCCCCTTCCTCCTGCATTTGCCTCACTTGTGTGAGGTATTGCGTGATGGTGGTGGTGACCTTGGCTTGTCAGTGAATTGCGCAGCAAGGGCATTGTTGCAACCTACTCCGCATCGTCCGCTAAACAACACTACTTGCACCAGCCAATATTGTCCGACGCCCTTGGTGACCAGTCGCAACGGTACTAGCGGCTTCGTTGCCCATAGACATTCATGGCAGATAAATGCTACGGTAGCTATTGCGCACACCCCGAGCAGAGCGTACACTGTGGAGAGCTTTCCGTCAAGTGTTCCAGCTGTTGTCAAAGCTAATAGTAGGGTGAAAACAGCCGCCGCGAAACTGAAAATGCCGAAATAATCCAGGCTTCTCAGCTTTTCCATCTTGGACCTCTCAGCGACCGGAGTGGCTGTGCGAGGCTTTGTAGGGAACTGCACCCGGGATAGAAACAGACACAGCACAATAAGAGGTAGCCGACCGGTGAAAGCCCTGTGCTATTAGCCGTGCTCAAACAATTAGACAGAAGTCTTACCATCTCCAACCTAGTGAATTCACTATAACTCGTCCCAGCGGAGCTCCGACACCCCTTCCAAGCATGTTCACGACGTTGGTGTAGCTGCGCAATAAAGCGACCTCGCTGGGCGCCGCCAGATCTATACACATTAGCTTCCGAGTGAAATGAAGGCGGCACATCATCGTACCCGTTATAATGATGGAAATCATGACCACCATGCCAGAAGACCCCACGCCGCTGATGATCCGTCCGGCTATCAATTGGTTCATTGAATTGCTGAGGGAACTGCTGGAGTCAGAGGAATAAAGAACGCTACAGCTGGAGTCCCACCGACCTAATCAGACAGCCAAGAGCGAATACTAGGTATCCCAGAAGCATCGATCTCTGGCGTCCCAAGGTATCTGCGAGGGTGCCGTACTGCATCTGTCAATACCAAGCACCTTCATTGCCGGTAGCACTACTTACCACCGGCAAAGCAATGCAATAGCCCAGATTGTATCCTGTCACCAGCCATGATGCTTTTGACAGCTCATGGAACTCGGAAGCAATGATATCGTAAGTCGCAATGACGAGAGATTCATCTGTGCTGGCTAGGAAAGCACCTATTTGTGTCAGCGATCGCTTTATCCCGTGCGTGAGCAAGAATACCTAGGTATGCGATGAAGATGGCCAGTCCGGTACCCCGAGAAATGCTTCCAGTTGTCTCATTATTTTCCTGATCGGGTGAAATCCCGTCTTCGGGTCGTGGAAGTAACCGGGTAGTCTCATCCGCAGCCATAACCGTCAAGAAAAGTGAATTCGATGAACGCTAGATGAACAATGAAGTGGGATGGGCAGAAGCAAAGCAATGGAACGGATAAGCCGAGCTTATCAGGCAGCATCAGTCTGAGTGCCTTATCGGCAGCTACACCTCGATGTGACTCATCATAAAACATGCTTGTTAACTAACTGTTAATTAATGGGGGAAGGTAAGTTGGGGAAAGGATTTAGATGAAGGCAGGTTACCCCACTAGCACGCGATCGGCGATAGGCTTGATGCTATCTCGGCCGACGAGCAGATGTCAACAATATAAATAGAGGTGGGCTGTTGCCGCCGCTAATTAGTGTCAGGAAGAGACTAGAAAGCTGTTCCTGGGCTGAATCCTTAGTTGATTTTTAGCGTATCATGGCCTAGTTAACTTGGGTAAAGCCATGTGTTGGCTGTCTACCGCTATCCTCGCTGTCCGTAGCCTAGTCCTGCTCAAGCCACCAGACTAATATATTCCTCGTGGCTCTAGAGATTGGACCCTGCATAGTAGTGCCTCCCTGATACCTGTCAACGATCTAAGAAAGATGTGCGTTTCTTGTAAACGGAATTTCTATCATCACTGTTATCACGACGACGTCAAAATCGTTTTGCGGGCTCTGTCAATTACTTACTGTTGGCATAAGTGTCCTGTGGAATCCTACTATTTTGGGGTTGAGATTTGTCAACTCGGTGGTGCAGCTTCCGCCACACAGCTCTTGTGCTAATAACGATTGCGAGTCCTTGAGAATAAAAAGTTCTGATGGAGCTATACATCTTATCCGCATGTAAACTGAATTCCCAATAGCCCATGGTTCCGGCCTTTGAAAGTGGTTATAAGTTGGAAAAAGGGTATTGTTTTGGCCTCGGGACTTTCTAACGTCCGAGATCTGGCACCCGCTGTTGGTCAATCTCGGGTTTTACTACCACCCGAAGGTTCTTATATAAAGTCTCGAATCTGTCATTTATCCACCCATGGCCACAATCAATAATAAAACAAAGACTTCACAATGTCCCGATTATTCTCACAAGCTACAAGCATACGAAAAAGCTTCTCCCAACTGACGTTCCTCAAACCACACCACTCTCCTGCAGCCCGCACCATCGCCACCATAAGAAAGCCCGCCCCGATAGCCATAGTCGGCGGTGGTCCATGCGGACTAACATTCGCACGTCTCCTTGAGACAGCTGGTATCAACTATGTCGTATTTGAACGCGATACCTCGCCAGAAAACGCCCTGCAATTTCAGGGTGGCACACTCGACCTTCACGGGGACACAGGCCAAGAAGCACTGCGGCGCGCAGGCCTAATTGAAGAGTTCGAGAAGCTGGCTCGTCGAGATGCAACGACTGTGATAGTGCAGGATTTCCGTGGCAAATTCCGCAAGAGGTTTGGTGAAGGTCGCGATGCTCCTGAAATCGACCGCTTGCAGTTGCGACAACTGCTGCTGAACTCGTTACCTGCGCATCGCATCCGCTGGGCCAGCGCACTCCAGGGGGTTGAACGGACCAGTAAGATCGGTCATGGGCATGGTGCGGACTGCAGACTGCAATTTGCCGACGGTTCAACGGAAAGCGGTTTCAGACTCGTTGTCGGCGCTGACGGTGCGTGGAGCAGGGTCCGCCCATTGGTATGTAGCCATCCATCCACTATCATTATCACATTAATTGACATATCCTACTAGATAACTCCTGCAAAACCACAATACTCTGGAAGAATGTTCATTGAAGGTCGCATATCACCCGGCAATCCGCAGTACGCAGCAGCACATGATATGGTAGGCGCTGGCAACTCTCTCGCCATGACCCGAGGCTGCACCCTGTGCATACAGCAGATGTCCGACCGCTCCTACCGCGTCTACATGGGTCTTGAAGTCCCGTCTACATTTACCAAACCTGGAGGCGAAGCCGACATAACAAATCCCGAGAAAGCGCGCGCCGCAGTACTGAAGTATTACGCTGAGTGGGCGCCGCACCTCCGCGCCTTCGCCGAAGCAGCAGAGGGTCCCTGGCGTCCGTGGCCACTGCACCGACTTGACCCAGATATCTTCCTTGACGGGAGTCCGAACTGGACGCGAGTCCCTGGAGTCACGCTGCTCGGAGATGCAGCGCACCTGGCGACGCCGAATGGCGACGGGGTCAACATTGCCATGTATGATGCGTTGGTATTGTTCGATGCCCTCATGGCTGAGTTTGAGAAGCGCAGTGACAGCCAACAAGCAGATGAAGACGCAGCAGCAGTAGAACGCGCTATTGATACCTACGAAGCAGACATGCGTGCCCGAGGACGAGCGCATATTGTGGACTCAATCGAGGTCGAGGATATGATGTTTGCGGAGGATGGAGCAGCGCGTATGCATGCGATGATTAACCAGGTTGAGGCCCACACATAGGTTCTACCTAAATCTTTATCAATAATCACTGGATAGTACATAGATATAACCATACACTTTAATTCAACTATACAGAGCTTCGCAATACATAGCTACCCGTCGATCACTGCCCCGCACACCCGATATAGTAAAGTAAGCAACCTACTAACCGTACCCCACTAAGAGCCAATATTCCTCGGGAATATTCTCCTTTCTTCATCCCCAACCCCTTCGTTCCCCTCACCACACACCATTATCACCATATCACATCCCACTTCCAACCGACTACATCCATCTCCTCAAAGCAACCTCTTAGTCTCAAGAAAAACCACCAAAATGACCACAAACGGATATACCACCCTATCAGAAACAATAACAACCTACTTCACCTCCATCGACGCCGGCGACCTCCCGACCACCATGTCGCTCTTCTCCCCCACCGCAACCTTCACCGTGGTCACGGCAGGCAACGTAACCTTCACAGGCCGGGATGCTATCCAGGCCATGCTGGACGATTTCATCACTCAGTCTACCTCAATGGAGCACCGAGTGGTGAGCATGATTGTTGATGAGAAGGCGGGGAAAGTTGCCACGCAGCAGCGGTACATTGGAGTGCCGGAGGATGGGATACAGAGGGATATGCTTAATTGTAATTTCTTTGATATGGATGAGCAGGGGAGGATTGAGAAAGTCATGGTTTGGATGAGTGGGGGGAGTCCATTGGGGTAGATTGATTGGTTATGGGCACTGGAGACAAACAGGGATTGAGGATGGCAAGGAGAGAGTTAGAGAAGCCGGTGTGTTCTGGGATTGTTTGAACAGTTGCTATTGATAAATGAGTTAGTTTGAATGATACTATGACTCAGATACTACATGCTAACATGGATTGTTGCAGAGATTTGCAAATTATACATGCTGCTTAGTACCTACTCAGTAATGAATATCGATGACACTGCAACTTATGACTAGAAAGGATACACTCATTCCAAACAGATATAAAATTCTATTGTGATTGTTATTAGAGAATTAGTTTGCTTGCGACTTCTGAGAGAACGAGCTTCACATCAATTGTACAACTGTAAAACCCAACAAGTAAGAGTGTCCAAGTTTGAAATGATGCATGGCTTCCATTCCTAGCAAGGCAAACGAACGTACAAGTGTCTCACTATTGTCCCTTTCCCCTTCCCTTTAATGCCTCTTCGACTATTGCAGTATCCTCACACCCTCGATTGAAACCCTTCAGTTATAGCCGTAGGACGAACCAGACACAAACTGAACGGATTCACCGTCCGAATATACCACCGAGCTCTGATTTCTTGCAGTAATCATTCTGGCCCACACCACCATCCGCACACCGGGACCCAAAATCGCACTGATTCTCCAGTTTAAGTGTATGGTCATCATTGCAATGGAAAACGAGGTCGTCCCACAAGCCAGCATTCTTAACTTTTATACTACTGTAGCCCGCAGCTCTCAGTGCTTCGCGGATGGCCGAGTCGGCGTCGCCTGTTAAAGGAGTAAATAATATGGTTAGCTTTCATTACCGAAACACGGACAGGTAATCGAGAAGTAAGGGGACTACCTAGTTTATTCAGCGTCGAGGTGCAATAGTTGAAGCCTGGCTTGCAATTGGCAGTGGCACCAGCCGGGCACTGTGCTGCGGCAGAGCCTGCTAGAGCCATGGTGGCTGCGATGAGAGCAGTGAAACGCATGGTGGAAGATTTGGCTTGGTTTTGTTTGAAGACGAGTTGCAAGGCTGAGATTGGAATGCTTGAGAATTGGCTTGAGGAAGCTCGATTGTTGGATGTTCGAGGGAGGTTCTGGTGAGCGGCGAGGATTTATATAAATTCAGGACCTCTGTTAGCGAGAGGACTTCGATAATCATTGCCATGTTTGACTGTTGTTTCCCCTTCGTGATGAGCTTGTGCTTCCTACTAGAGTGATAGTCAACTGCATCACATTGCATCATGTCTCATGTCTCGAATGATTAGGGCGTCGTATCACTGTGATGTCTTGGTAAACTACCAGATTGCGTGCACACTATACCATCTTAGCACTCATATGACGATGGGAAGTAACGTTGCATACAACTATCGACCTAGCTTCGAAGTACTTCTTCTCACGATGAGGTGCCGCGTTGCCCAATTGGTTCAATAGGAGAACGCAAGGCCGCTTCACTAGAGTACAATTTCTGGTACGATCAAATAGAGGACTATTTGCGTAGTGGTGTCCTAAGAGAGACATTTGTCAATGTCATAAATAGACGATGTAACTGTGATTAGTCCGCGTTAGTGGCTCTGTACAGCGCCGAGGTCAAGGAATACTTCACTCAAGAGTCTCCGATGCATCCGAGATGCAGTACGGACGTAGCCAGAAGCGATCAAGTTTCGATCGGGCCGTGAACGTTCTGCGGAAGATGGTTCGCCGATCGTGTCTACTGATTTCTCATAGTTGGCGCCTTTGTGCAACATGGAGCTGGGACCCCGGTCGGTTGGAAAATCAAATTGATTTCCTGGTCCTGTTGGCCCGGTGAGTAAATAGCCAGTTAGTAAGGGGATTCATCTCACTTCTATCGCGCGCTTCAGCAACCTAAAACGTAGCTTACCTTGTGTCCTGGGCATTTAATATCATGGGTTCCTGACTGGAAGTGGACTTGAAACACCAAAGTCAAATTCCTCAATACCCCGGAAGAAGCAGGGTACACTTTGAACTGCGGAATCGGGACGGATCTAGCCGGAGGATGCCTTCCTAATAGTGTATCACAGGTGCATATTTAGTCCACTAGTTGTACTCTGTACATTGTGCGACGTGTGATGAGACCTGCACCCCGAAACCAGTGAAGAAGAAATAAACCTCAGCCCTACCATATTTGTAAGATGTACTAATCATGAGAACTTCCCCAGGGTTTTATCTGGTTAAACAGACTCTTCTGGATTGTGCTGCATAGGGACATAACTATGGTTTTTTCTGAATACTGGGAAGTACCTACCTCATGTGAGAGTGGTTACGTTTGTAAGTCTTCGACATGATGCGAAAGAACCAGTGTGAAAAAGGAAAGCACGATTCAATTCATCTCTATCCTTCGCCTTCTTGAAGGGTTGGTCTCATCTCCTTTATCCTTCTTTCTCGGTTTTCCTGGGCATAAACATACCAAATATTGAAGATATGAATTTAATGACTTGCAGTCTTTAGTTCCAGCACATATGACTTCCTTGCTCCGCTCAAAAGTGAGGCGGGAGGGGGGAATCCCTTCGGAGAAAGATTTCAGCGGTGCTATATACAAAATAGCATGTAAGACAATTGATACTGGCTATTTGTCAATAGTTACACTCAGAGAACATGTTATGGTGTCAGACAATCAATAGTTCTCAATACTTCGATCAATAGTGACAATGTACACGCTAACGTCCACACCAATAAGTTTCATCACTTGGCTCAATCCGATTGTACATATTGCCGTGATGCCTATCCTTCTCTGATGTCTAAATAAAACCGAGTAATATTCCATAGACAAAGATAGAAGAAACATCTGCCTTGCATGGCAGCGAACCCAAAGAGCGGAACGGATTTATCCGCCGACCGCCATCGGAGCAACTTCCGAACAATTCATCCATCCGTCAAAACTACACCATTTCAACGCACCATGCTGCGCCAACTTCACTATACCCTCCCATCAGGGTCCCGGACTCAGCACGAAAAGGCAGCAAATTATGAGTAGGTAGACTTTCTCGTGTGAGCTCTATCGATTGGGCAGCCGCATATGGCGATGCCGATTACAGTGGCATTGGGTGTAGCGCCTGCAGCACAAGTGCTGGGCACGACGGTATATCTGACAGGCGACCTTGGCTACTATCTAAGTGGGCACTCACGGTGCTTACAATATTCCTTCCCAAGTCAAATGTCGAAAGGGGACTCGGTGGCCCGTATTGTGGTGGAGAATTACCTGATTATCCGGCTTCTTCTCGACATCCTTGTCATCCTTCATGTGTTTCAAGTTCCAGCCTCGTGCTTGGCCATGCCTCAACCTCGCCAAGCCCCGTCCCGTATTATCTCCGCACCAAATCAGCAGCTGGTTGGACCAGCAGTCCCTTGCTTGGAATGAAGTGGCGCCCAAGTGGAGTTGGCGGCAGGGATCAGCCTCGTATCAACACTTATCCGCAAGAGACCCATGGTAGGAATGCTTGAATCGCTTCCACGACATGAGTGTTTACAATACTTTAAATCAACTGAATCATGCTACAGCCACCCCATAACCTTTGGACAAGTCATTTTACATATTGGATACCCACCCAGGGCACCATCAACAACCACGGTCGTACAGCCTTGCCGTCAGCGTCTCAAGCACGCAAAGGATCAGGCTATGCAGGGATTGACGGTGGGCTGTGCCGCTGCGACAATCCCTTCCCCAAAATGTCCTTACTTATACCTGACGCTCGAACCGCCCCCACGTCAGATATTTTTGACGATGTGGATACCCTTGAGGGAACAACTGACAGGCGGTGGTGCTGCTGGTGCTCACGGCCTATATACGTCCGAAATGTTGGGCAATATCTTGCCGAAAGGAAAAGCCTTTGCGCGCCTGCCCGGGAAACGGCCATCTACAGATGTGAGGGGCGCGTCTAGTGAGAGTGATGGCGACTCGCTACCTGGGTATGCACGGCAGCAACACATGTGGTCACCCGTGATATTACGCTCCGTGTCTCTGGCTGTGTTCGTGGTGCTATTCATATGCTTTATTATTGTTATCGAGGTGTTGTATTCAGTATCTACTCGGAAGGAAGGCTTGAGCACAAGTGAGGAAAGATATCATTATCTGTGGACCTATGGCCCGACTGCAGGTAAGACATTCTTTGCTTATTGTCTTCTGATGGACCATGCTGATCCTGTAGTTCTTACGATTGTCGCGGGGTTCTGGGGCCAGGTCGAGTATCGAACGAAACAACTTATGCCTTGGAAGCTCATGAATCAAGGACCAAAACCCGCTACACGATCCTTGCTGCTAGATTATGTGTCTGACTGGAACGTGGTCATCCTGTTTCGTGCCATGAAGCAATCATCCTGGGCTGTTGTTCTTGCCGTTCTCGTAACACTGCTCATCAAATTAATCACCGTGGTCTCGACTGGTCTGTTCATGTTGCAAAATGTCTACATGAAGGATGTTCCAACAACACTCACGACGCAAGCGAGCTTTGACGGTGCTGGGTATAATGGTGCCAGGGTCGATGGAACGGCGGCAATGGTTGTAGCTGGGGCTTGGTGGCTTAACCTGTCGTATCCGTTGGGATCGACCGATAAATACGCCTTCCAACCGTTCACAACCTCCGGCAAGAAACTCGGTGGGACTGATCGCTCCACTACCAGTTAGGCGCGTCACTGACTTCTTTACAGGTGCCGATGCTGTCATTTCAGGAACAGTCGACATGTTCTCTGCTGATCTTCAATGCGACGTGGCCACTGTCGCGAACTGGACTTCGGGTTGTAGCACACAAATGTGTGAGTACGATGAACTCAATATGACACTCAGTACTTCTTCCTGTTCGAAGTATCCATTTACAAGCTTTGAGAAAAGCTCCTCTTCGGTTGGGGGATACTATGCCGACGTATTCAGCGCCACATGTACGGATACAGATTCAGCGGATAGTCTGAATCAGAAACGCCTGATTTTCGCCGCCGCCCACTGGTCTGAGAACAGCACCCAAATCCAGGCGCTCGTTTGCAGTCCCATCTACACCATATTGCAAGGATCCGTCTCGCTGCTTTACGGCAATCAAAGTGTGACTAGCATCCAACCATATAACAACGATACTAGCAACAGAACAGTTCCAGGGTTCGAGGGTATGGAGCTAGGAACAGGACTTATTTCTTCCCTATCGCTGGCTGAGAACACCTTGGATACGCTGAACTACGTGGATACGTCAACGCATGCTCTTACAACCTATCAATATAACCTTTCAGACCCGAACAGCACCTATCCGAGTGCATTTTACCTGGTCGCCAATTTGACCTCTCCCCATACGATGAAGGACTTACTGGATGCATCAATCTTGGAAAAGGTTTCCCGTCCGACATTCAGTGCTATGGCTGCCCAAATAGCAAGGCAATACCTACTGTCTTCTGCAGACGAGAATTTCGCAGGGACATACTCCGCCCATATCCAGAGAGTGGTTGTCAGGGAGCTCTCAGTCCGAATAATGGAAGCTACCCTAGCAGTATTGATTATTCTGACTGCAGCGCTATGGCTCTGGAGACCGGTTCGCTGCACGTCGCGTGATCCTGGCACAATTGCTGGGCTAGCAAGCATAATAAGTCGCAGCCCCAAAGTGTCTGAACGGCTCACAGGCTGCAAAAACGCGCAAGACCTCACCACCAACCTATCAGATGGGAGATTCTACACCCGTGTCACAGATAACGATGGCTGGAGAACGTTTGGCATCGAGGAAGACCAGAAAGCAACCGAAGCGACTCGTCCTGGAGCCAGCTCTGGCCCACTCACCTGGTGGCGGCCAATTTCGGTAAATGTCTGGTGGTGGATCATATCCATAGTGCTCCCACTTCTCATTATCGCTGGCTTAGAGGCATCCTATCAGGTATCTGCCCGTCAGGACGGACTCGGAACTGTCACCTCAGGTGGCTACATCCACTACGTCTGGGCCTATTTGCCGGCACTGATATTCCTTATCGTCCGCATCTTCTTCGACTGCATCCACTTCTCTGCCATGGTATTCCAGCCGTACCTGGAGCTCCGACAGGGTGGCGTGACCGCACCGGGCAGCCTTATGGAAAATCACCTGTCTAAGCTGACATTGTTCTCATTCTTTACCGCAATCAAGCGGAAACAGTGGGCCGTGTGCGCAACAGGATTTACCGTCCTTCTAGCCCCTGCGCTCACAGTGGCGGTCAGTGGGCTGTATTCAACACAAGACATTGTATACACACGCCCTGCTTCCATTGCGCGAACTGACACCTTCAACACGACCATCAGCCCTCTTTCTTCCACCACTACCGACCCTGGCCTCGGCCTCACAGGAGCCCTTGTGGTGGGAGCCAACCTATCATACCCAGCTTGGACGTATGACGAGCTTGTTCTCCCTACCCTTAGTGAGGCATCCCTCACCGATAAGGAGGGGGTGGTTCGAACCAATTCCTCCTCTTTTAACAGCACATCCGACAGTCCGATCCTCCTCAACGTCACCCTCCCAGCCCTCCGCGCCAACCTCACCTGCGATGCACTCCCCCGAGACATTGTTTATACCATCAGACCAGCCTCGGATTTCTCTTCCATGTTCACCCTCCGCATGCAGCTCGACAAGAAATGCCAGGGTGTGGACACCTCGACTGACTTCGCCATTGAAACCGACTATCCCAACGCAACACGCACTACATTCGGTGCCTTCAAATACCTCAAAGATGCAATCGATTTTGGCGACTGCCCGGTGCTGATGGGTTTCTACGGTGTGATAGATGGGAATTCCACAGCACAGATCCGCGGGTTCACCTGCAACCCACAAATCGACGAAACCGATGCGACAACCTCGTTCTCACTCCCAGGTCTAGAAATCCAGTCTGCAGCCGCGGACGACTCAACCAGCCGAGTCTTTTCAACAAATATCTCCACCACTCTCAAATTCGAAAGCTTCCTTTCCCAGCCTGTCAACAAGGAAGACCAAGCGTTTGACGCCTTTTTCTCCGCCATGCTCAATGACCAAAAATCCCTCTTCTTATCCGACATCACTGACCCATCCTATTACTCCACTGTCATCAACGCAACACAACATCTCTACCGCACCCTGATGGCCCAGTCTATGAATGGCAACGCACGAATTCCATCAAGTGACAACCAAACTACCTTCCCTGGCACAATCGTAGACCCTAATCGTACCCGTCTCACGCAGAGCGCCATATCCACCCGCATCCTCGAAGCTTTTCTCGCAGCCATGGTCGTGTCCACCCTAGTCGCATCGTATTTCATGCACACTAAAGAAGTCCTTCCTTTCAACCCATGCAGTATTGCTGGCGCGGGGGCACTGATTGCTGGATCGGACGTGCTGAAGAGTGACACATTACCTGCCGGGTCGGAATGGTGCAATGATGGGGAATTGCTTCGAAGGGGGTATTTCTCAGGATTGGTGTTTGGGTTAGGATGGTGGGCTGGAGACGACCCGAGATTTGGGATTGACGTTGGGCGGGCGACAGAGGAGAGAGAGTAGACTTCCTTTTTATTTTTCACGATTTATATGAACACAATGAAGATTTACCATTGACATGATAAGGATTTATCATATAATACAGAATTATCAAAGGGAATAAATTCCTTATACAGACTAAGCGATTCACATAACTTTGCTCTCGCCTGTCCATAAATCCTTTGAAAAAGCCACTCACCTATCTGGTGCCTTTCCTGCAAAGCGAGAAATATCGAGACGGGAATATTCTATAATCTACGTAAATACAGGCATGTTGTAGACTATCATTAACCGAACCACCCATCCACACATCGCACATCACGTATTACCCAACCAACTCATAACAAGGTTATTTACAACAACTACTGCTCCTGCTCCTGCCCAGTATAACAATACACACTATCGATATACATCGTAGGAATCTCGCGACTACCACTAACTCCCCTGAGAACCGGGTCGCCTTCGGGACTGTTGTACAGATAACAGGTAGCAGAAGTAGACAAGTAAGAGTAATCGCCGCTTTCACAGCTATATTAGCACACTTGAAGATACAAAATTCGAAAGGGAGGGCGGGTATCATACGGGCCATCCAATCCCGTAAGCTGCTGCAATTCAACCCTCTGTTGGTTGGTGTCGGATGCACTTGCTGCATATTTGATCCGGTGAATGGACTTGGGAGAGGAGAAGAGGGAGGAAGGGGGATTTCATATTATTGAAAAGGTGGCGGTAATCAACAGTCAAGGTGAGATTAAGCTGGGGGACTTTTGAGAAGTTTTCTCTGTATGAATCAGCAATTCGAGAGATTCTTGGAGAGAGGAATAATAGTAGACGATCTTATCGAACACTATACGCATACACATAAACACGTCTAAGCATATATATTATTATATTTATCCATCCCCTGCATATAGCGTACACACTCATTGATCAACATGCCCATTCATATATCCAAACCCATGACATAACTCATTTACAGCAGCCCTTCCTCCTGCTCATAGGTGTAGCAGTACACAGCTTCAATGTACGTCGAAGGAATCTCGCTGCTGCCACTGACCTCCGAGAGAGTGGCGTCGCTCTCGCTGTTGCTGTACAGATCGCAGATATCGGGGGTAGAGAAGTAGGAGTAAGTACCGCTGCATAGATACAATTAGTATCTGTCTGGACAGTTAAAGTATTTGGAAGTTGGGATGGGATGGGGAGAAAGTCGTACGGATAGTCGAGCTTCTCAAAGTCTTGCAATTGAATTTGTTGCGTCTGGGCGTCATATTCGCTGGTGCCGTATTCGATCTGTGTGCATTATGATCATATTAGTCTTTGTCTCCGTCACTTCAGGATGCAGTGGAGGTAGCAACGTACGTTGATCAACTGGCCGACAACGCCGGAGGCGAAAACGGCCAGAGTAGCGGCCAAGACAGACTTGTTGAAGAACATTTTATTTTTTGTTGTAGTTGTGTAGGGGGTTAGACAAGAGTTGGGGTTTGAATTGACACAGATGGTTAGTTTTTGGATTGAGTGGTTTATTGCATCCGGTGAGTGTACTTGGAGGGGGTTTAAGTACTATTGAAGAGGCGGCAGGTTTAGTATCCCTCTATGATAACGCTTCAATAGTCTCGCCAGCTGGTGTGCCTTTTTGGGATGGTTCTGCTGGCCTGTTTTGTCGATCCGGATAATTGCTCGGAGCCGTCGGGGGAACTCGATGCCGGAAGCTTGATATTTGTAGCTTTTGGTTAGCTTAAGTTGGTGATCGACAGCTGGGCTGAGATTTAGATCGAGTGTTTCGAAGGCTTGGTATGATGTTATCGGGGATTTCTGAAGAAATGTGACCATGTCAATTGTGATGCCATATCTTAACACAAACTCATTTATATCAATACTCGACTGTATTTTACTGCGATGGTATTATATTCGCAGTGAACAGGAGCTTCTGCCATCGCTGGGGACAATCGGTGGACGCGTGCACGCGGGCCATCCAGAGGCACCCGCCGCACTAGTGCGATAGTAGCCGATCTCGCCAGCCACTATATGTCCATCGCGACGATCAGCGCTGCCGACACTTTGAGATACTCGTGTTTGTGTCCCTCGCGATGGCAGACATTTGGCAGTCGTGCATGAGAAGAGTCGGTCAGCTAATTCAATTCCAGGATCGGAGAATATCTGGCTCGTTGCCTGTCTAAGGTCGGCAGTTATTGTCATCATTTACCGGCAGGATGGATGGAGAGGTGTGTACAATAGCTTGTTGTTATCTCGAAGTTAAGGTTACTAGCTAGCTAAGGTAGCTGGACGGACGGGAAGCTTGGTTCATTCTAAGGGGACTATATGCTGATCGGCTATAGATCCGATCCTGGGCTCCATAGAGCGGGTTGGCAGGCGTAGCCATGGCTATTGCGCGTAATGAAAATAGTGAATAACGCATAACTCAAGGCAATTAACACCAAGATGGAGAACAATCTAGTTAGGATTTATATCAGAGTAATTGAATAGCGATCAGAATGTGCTACTAAAAGGTGCCTTGGATTTCATTATCTTCAAAGTAGTCTAGTTGTGCTTTTGCCTCAAAGAACAAGTCATATCACAAGACCCTTCAATGCATATCATCCTGAGGCTCCAGGACCAACTAAATATAGCAGTGACAGCGCGGCTTTCGTGAGGAGCTATTGCATGGTGGCACCTTTCTCATCACACCAGTCACCTGCGTTAAGACAGAAAACCTTTGGAGCCGGTTATGCAGGATCATATGAATGAGCACCAGGAGGGACCTATAATCCGATGGAGCTTTTACTATACGAAGTCTGTTAATTGGAACCCGAAATCATACTTCCACGGCGCGGCCAAGACTTACGGGTTGATCTCGCAGGTGCCAATATTCTGGAACGTGGTGATGAGGCCTCTCGTGTGATTGTTATTAGCTCGGCTTTTCAAACATGGTTTATATCTCATATTCTATATTTCTGAATGAAGAACGCATATGGGTAGTCAAGGTCAACAAGTTCACCACACGGTACCTCTTGGGTGTGGTCAACGCCGTCCGAGGTATAGACAATCTATACATGTTCATATACGTATCCTAGAGATAAATAGAAGAATAAATTTTTATTGTATCGTATTCATGGGATTGGTACGCTGTGGACATACTTCTAGGGGCTCACTAAAGACGCCAGATGAGAGCGTCATTGCAGTGGCTAGGATATATGTGGTGAGTTGCATTGTGAATGTTCGTATAAGGATTGCGTAGGTGTGAGGTGGATCGCCTGATCAGAGATGAATTGATGATTAAAGAGTCAGGCTACACTTCGAACATGTTGAGCTTTATATGTTCATGCCCTGAATATTGTGGATTAGCCGGACGGCTTCACATGCCCAAGTTGCATTCTCCGCGGGAAGGGTTGCACGAGACAACCGGAGCATGGTAGACACTGTAGGGAATGGTACATTGCAATTAATATCCCATTTTGGAGTAGTGATCAGGGAACTAGTATTAGCGCATGCAATTAAGAAACAATGCAACACATGCATCAGTCGCTGACATCTTAATGTCAATGATTCGGATGTATTTCTCGGGTCTGTTGCGACGGGGGTAGCCGGCAGGTCTGATGTAAACTAGTTACTGAGAGCGCGCCGGCCGTCAGTATTCACCTACTTGAGAGGATATCTAAACCGGCTCAAGTCAATTGTTCGCGGGCATTCCGAGAAGGCCGGATCAAATTTAAATGCAACGAGGTACATTTTTTGTGCCAGAGCGATTTTTATTTTTTTCAATTAGGTATAGCATAACTATACGAACATCTAAAGTAGTTCCCGGCATGTGTATATCCCTTCAAGCTGGAAATGACTGGTGACCAAGGCCGACAGCCCCAATAAAACCCAGTGGCGAGCGATTATGGTGCTATGCTTTGCTGCTTCACTGGAAAATCCGTTCGTATGAATTGCTTGATCAATGTCATATCGTGGCTTTGCAGTCAAAGTAACAATGTTGATAGATCCCACGGAATGCAAATTTCCATCGTCGAGTTTTGCAATGGTTTGAAGAAAAGTCATTAAACCTTAGCATCCGTCTGTCTACTTCATACATGAGCAAAGATTCTCCGTAGGCAGCTGATCCCTACTATGCACCCTCAGCTGACACGTAGAACTACCCAGTAGCACTTCAAACACACCGAAAATGCTGCAAAATTGGAATCTATCTTACTTTATCCGAACCAAGATTTGGTGAACACTTCTATCGAAATAGATACATCTAGTTGCCAAGAACATTCTCCCCTTTTCACCTATCGAGAGACGGATACGGAATATGTTGCCCATACATGTGTCATTGAAGCATGTTATGATTAAAACTATGGCATTCTCTGTAGCTGGCCACCATTACTTCACAGGACTATGAATCTGACCTTCCATCAACTCTCCCACATACCCTTGCATACCCAACAGTTCTTCGACTAGGCGTACAGAATTCTGTACCTGGATGCGTGAATTCAATGCACCGTCAAACAAACTAGTGCAATGATCATACCACGTCAAGCCGGCGCTCATCTAGTTGGAAGAGGGGTCTTGGCACTGGACGGATGCAGCGTTGACTGGAGGGTCGATGTTCGTTGCACCCGCTGCAACATAGTAGACCTCCTGGCCATAGTAGCTATAGGGGTGAATGTTAGCGACAAATCCAGGTATAACAATTATGAGAGGGGTGATATTTACTTGAAGAGATAGCAGTTGGCAGTGTTCTGAAAGGTGCTAATGGATCCACTGTGGGGTTGTTAACATCGTACTTGTAGAAGGTCTTTAACGAGATGAGGAACGTACGGCTGAGTCAACGGAGTACGTTGGTAAGGCTCGACCTGCTGGTTGTAGTAAGCGCCATTGGAGGTGTAGGCGATCTAAATCCATATTGGTTAGCAGATGGACAAAGAAGAGATCTCGAGACATAGATGCCGAATGGGCAGATGTCAAATGATTGATTTCTCCACATACATCGACTGTGCTTGCAACAGCGCTGGAGGCGAAGAGAGCAAGGGCGGTAGCCACGATAGACTTGGAGAACTGCATTGTGGATATGTAGTTGTCTTTGAGGACTTTGTTGTATGTGTTTGTGAGGTTGATTGCGATGGATGATACTTTGTTTCTGGTGGGATATCTCAGCCATTATATAGTCTTGGACGGAGTTATAGATTTCATTACCGAGGAGTAGATATTAGGCCTACCATCCAGCTGATTCTACCCTGCAGAGCCAAGAATACCCGGAAACCCCGGAGGTCCTCTAGGTGTAGAATAATTGCATGGAATATAGAGTTCCATTGGATATGTTTTGATTAAATGCTCATAGAAAAGTGACATGACATCTACAAGCAGACAACTAGCGGATGGCTGCAGATACGAAGGTCCCGATTGCTTTTGCCAGGCCATGATCGACACCCCGGCTGCTTCCGAGTGGACTTCCCCGCGCCTTACCGGGAGTCACAACAGTAAAGCCCGATTTTCCTAAGTTTGCGCCTTTCTACAGTTGGAAACCATACTGATATTATGTGTCAAGCTTTCTGGGATGAACGATTTGAACCCAGCGCATAAGTATCACGTCCCTTAGGATACACAGCATATTGTCGGAGGGTTGGGCATCAAATAACTGCCCAGCCGATGCTCAGAATATGAATTTTCTGGTAATACAAGGCTTTCTTAGGGGACTGGCTTGGATAAAAGTTTCATTCTGCACATTGCTTTTATGTTCCATATACGGTAATTGTTTATTGCGTACTTGAGCAACAACAAAGGCATTGTGTTGCTCCCAAATGTTCGAGTTTGGGTAAAAAGGGCTACTGTGACTAGTTAAAAAGAACATGGAACATGGCCATCTAACAGCGGTGCAAAAGAATACTGAATACAGCGCACATTGAAGAGAATTTCCGTACTCGGACCCAAAGCCAGAGTGATGGGTCCGAACCTGCCCATATATTTGACTATCCAATACTTCATGCAAGTATCGTGTTTAATCGACTTGACACTCAGCTGAGCCACTACCAACTTTTCCAGCCCTCCCTTGATCACGCCCAAGCTAGGACACCCACTCATAACTCAACACTGGAATAACAAAATCTGGCGCCGTACATGTCGCATTGAAATACTGATCATGCGTGCATGTCAAAGTAAAATTTGTACTACCAGAATAGGTAATCAGGCTACCGTTTGCACATTCCAGCGCATGCCCATCTCCCAAGACATAATCCATATGCCCCGTGGAGGTCGCATAATTGGAGCTGCCATAGAAAGATACGATCCTTCCCTCGCCCCGATCAGCGTATCCACAATTAGATGCTCCGTTTCCGATGTCATGAACTCGATACCCGATGTACTCGTCGTGGCAGGTCAACCCATCTGCAAAGTCGATGTCAAGGGTCTCGGGCGGACCATATCCCCATGGTTGATAATTGGGCATTCCGGTCCAGCAAACATTGACCATGCTGCCGTTGCAGGTGGCCGGGTCGGGGGCACACCAGCCATTGCCGCATAGACAATCTTTGAAGTTGATGTCTGCCTCGTTATGGACGCAGTCCAGGCTCTTTGACCCGTTGTACCAATGGAAGGTGGTAACTTCCCAGGTGGGGATAGGACATCCCTCTGGGGGGGTGATAGAGCGGGGGTGCAGAATGGCGGTGGACGAGGCTGCAAGAGCCACGAGAGTGGCAATTGTGGGGAAGATCAACATGTTGGGCATTCCAGAATGTAGCCCTCAAAAAAGCAAGCTGATGAGTCTGACTGGAAAGAGTGGGCTTTTCTTGTCTCTCCAGGGGGCTTTTATATCTCTTCACTCTGGCATCGACAGAATTTTATCCGCCTCGTATCTTGAAGAGAGATGAACGAAGAGAGCTGTTCGATTTGAGGAATCAGGGTCCTCTACATGCACATCAGCTGGTAGAGGTGAGACATCGCGAATGAAGAGCGGAGGGAACCGACGGGTTTGAAACATTTGCCTCGCCTAAGCTATAAATGGTCGCGGTGGTTCCTTGGCATCGGAGATCCCAGGTCTTCCCGCGTACTGTCTCAACACGATTTTCCTAAAGAGGCCATAATGTCGGGAACGCCGTAGAGTTGGCCACTTGATAGATCTCATCGTGAGGTTTATTTTTGTGTCCATGCGAGCTTTGGACTGTCCCGCACCCACCACGCTGAGTGCGGGGGAGCCCAGAGACTAGCGCTTTAGAGGATCAATGAAGGCGAATTGAATGTAGAGGGTTGAGAATTACCTGTTAGACGCAGTACTTGGTTTGGAAACTTGAATATGCAAGAATGGTGAACAAGACTTCTGTTCATACGACCAGTAGTCATAGTAGTGTCTTCTGAGGGTTATGCTAATGGTCATACTCCCGCTTATATATATCATGGCTGATGTGACTTTCACTTACAAGTAAAATTCTATTTATTCTGCAGAATAGTACCCGACTTGAAGAGATCACTGAAAAGCCTGTAAATCAAATAGAAATGTTTTTCACAAGTATTATAGATATGGAAGCTAGAAACAACTGACATTTATAGTTCTGTTACAGCAATGTTCCTTGGATAGTAGTAGTGAACAGTCGGCCGTCAAAGAAAGACAGGCCCCAGTAACCTAGCATAGGCCATCTACGTGTGTAGTGCCGAGTGAAAGAAGCATCTACATTTCAGAGTGATTATAAAGTCGACCATGCATACTTTTATCCATGAACTTATGCACCGATTAGCTTTTGAAATCATCATAACTCCTCCGCCAGTCTGCTATGACGTCACCACATCCGAACCCGATCTTAAGCTGCCGAAATTGCTCGGCAGACCGAGTCTACCCTGAACTCAACTTCTGGCATTTTACGCCTTATAATATAAAGCTTTCAGCCAACAGGTGCTTTCAAATGCACGAGTAGCTCATTTGAGAGTGGAAGGGACCCTGGATTACCCATACATTTTACACACGTCGACCATGTCCCTCATCATAATCACTGCGCCCCGACCAGCTGGACAAATGTATGTATTTAGTAAGTACTGGTGATGAAGTCTTCAACAACTCAGTTTATGTTGCTAGGACAGGCGAACCCAATGCTGTCCATTACATTGATCATCAGTTATGCAAGGGACGCATGCTGCACGTCTACAAAGTGAAATGTGGGGTCATATATGGGTCGACGCAGACTCGCCGAAGTATCCCCGAGCACAACCATGCCATGAACAATGAGCAATTGAGACTATGAGACTTTCAAAGTTGTCAACCTTCTGTGACGCTGCAGCAAAGTACTATAGTTAATATACTGGACTTGCATTCCTGGGCTACAACAAAAGTGCAATTCCAACCCATCATACCCAAGCTTAAGCTTATCTCGCGCAACTGGAACCCATAAGCTTCATCCTCGGATCCTCACCGAGAACACCTTAACCAGTAACTCATCCGCCCCACCCCAACTCTTAAAAATAACTCAATCTTGCCCGCCCACGTTTAAGAACCCCGTTACCCCTCCATCCCCTCCTTCTCGCCCACAACATCCCCATTTGATCCTCCCATCACACCGTCAAAATGGTTTACACTATCGTCGTCCGTACGTTTTCCAAGCCCCTAACTCTATTCCACTGAACCCACCATTGGCACGATTATACTGACATAGCAATGTGATAGACCTCCGCGCTAAGCCCGACGAGGAGAGCATCTCCAAGCTCCACGCCAAGCTCATCGAAGCCTCGGCCGTCTACTCCAAGGACAAGGAGACCCTGTCCTGGTTCGTCATGCAGAGCGTCCACGACAAGCAGGACTTCTGCATCGTCGAGCGCTACCTCAACGAGGGCTCCCAGAAGTACCACCTCGAGAACCCCTACTGGAAGACCTTCGACCCCTACGTCATCCCTCTCTTGGAGAAGCCCATGGACCTCAGACGCTTTGAGGAGATGGAGGAGAAGAAGGAGTAAATGTGCATACTATAAAAACTAGAATGGCATGTATATAGAGTGAATGATATTGCCCGATGCCGTGCGTCGGACGTTGTTCGGAATAGCATTTCTGTGCTGAATAATTGCTTGCAGTGATACAAATACACCGTGAACTATCGCAATAATGGTTTGCAGGCAGTGAGTTGAGGGCAAAGCTGGACTACGCCAGAGCGTTTGATATTTGAAGCAGCAAGTAAAAATGTCAATCATAAGGACAACGATGACGATGACGATAATGAACAACATTAGTCTATCCACGTCTATTTGTCTGACTGAAAAACGGACTCGACACATAAAACGGTCTCTCAGGCATATTTCTCTCCCCTGCTTCACCACCAGCACCACTACTCTTCTTCCCCATCAACGCCTGCATTCTCTCCCGAAAAGCTTCACTATCCTTCAACTTTCCTATTTCCTTCTTAACCCCCTCATCCTTGAACCTCGCATCCGGCTCCCCCTCAAACACCACCTCCGGCCCATCAATCCACTTCCTCCCCGAATCCCCACACGCGCGCTTAATACTCTCTGCACCCTCATTGATCATACTCTTCCAGAACGCTCCCTCTCCACTTGCTAACACACCAGCATCCTCAAGCATCGCCACCGCACCAGCCACCCAATCCTGACAATTACCCACACCGAATTCTGGGATATTCGATGCGTCGTTTCCAAACGCGCAAAGTAAGCTGTTCACATGTTGACATTCTTCCTGTCGGAAGGTGATCAGCTCACAACGTCCTCTCAGGACAGGATCATCTTGCAAAGGCTGGACACGTGGATCGTAGATGAAGTACTCGTCGGTGGGGTTGCGGATATGGTGCATTTGGCAGGTTGACGCGCCGATCTCGTATACCGCTATGCCCATGTGCGAAGGGCCGTCGCCGAGGGTGGCATCCCCGCGCCCGTAGATGTTGATGGAGATGGCGTGGGTGGGTGGTTGTGTTGGGGGGTCCATTTTTGGTTTTATATGAACGGTATGGAGAGGTAGTTTGGGAAGGACAAAGTTGAGATACTGGTTGCCTAGTTGTGTTGTCTTTGGTGGAAGCCTGGGCGTTTAATGAATGGATCACGTGGAAAGTAAGTTGGAGGGAAAGATACCGGGAGAGGGGACTGGGAAAAGAGGGTTCTTTATGTTTGAAGTGTAGAAATGGGCGCTAAGTTCCTTTTATTCATTGGACATTTCCGTTTTCTACTGAGACGCGGTTGTACCTAGTCTGGGCGGCTGGTTGAGTTTCGGGAAGCAAATAATACAAATTATTATGATGAGAGAGGGACTAAACACAACATAGCAGAGATTTAGAGACATGTGGTGGGGATTTTATGATGATAATGTAATTACTGTATACTCAAAAGGCAAACGTTCTATCAGACTATAGGAAGTCAACAAAACAGAAGACGACACTCGACTGAGGCCATCAGTAGTTTGTGACAAGGAAATGATAGCCGCCATGGTCACAATGCACGGACATGAGTGGTCTCTTTTTCATCAATTGGGTATAGTTGTCGTTATTTGGCTGATATTCAGTCTTCCCAAATGTCGCATCTGCTGGTGATGAATTGGTAGGAGTAGACTTACAACACTGAGATGACAGGCTACGCCTGCAGAGCAGTGGCGGCTATTCGCCTATACACGCGTTCATCTTCCCCGGCTACGTAACTGTCCCGTGCATTCAATCGGTACTGCGGGGATTATTCACGCTTCTAAGCCTTTGCATGTTGAACTGTCTTCATGCATCGTCATTCTGAATCTGATCCTGACATGGATGGCATGGTTAAAAGTATGCAGATTTTCACCTACATAGACGCGGGCAGTCTTCCGGCAAATCTGCCGTCAATTTCCGCAGATGCGCATTACACGGACGCTTTTGGTAATCAAATGTGTGATGACGACGAGGTATATTATGAATTAGTGTCTTAAGAGGTAAGGCATAGCTCCTTAGGGAATACAATGTTTGGCTCCACCTTCTTTTCCCTGGCCGGCTCCAATTATAGTAGTACTATAAGTTCAGCTCGGAGCGGAAATCTGTTTGAATGACACATGTAAACATATTGAAGTAAACCTAAATATAACATAACATGGATGCAAGGTGCAAGAGATTGGAGGTTATACATGAATCGACATATAGTCTAAATACAAAAGAAATGCATGCGTAAAGGAAGCGTTAAGCCAGAAAAGGGAAAGAAAACACGAGAGAATAGCGAAAGAAGCACATAACCACACCATGGGAGCGAAAGAAAGCTTTGTCAACGTAGTTTCCGCGTGACAGATGTCTTAGTGTGAAGGGCTAAGTACGCTTTTTCACTCCACCACTCAGATTGGCGAATTTGTCGAGATTCAGCCGGCCTACGGGCCTGACTTTCTGGCTCTGGCCGAACGTCGCATCAGCGGGCGCCTGACGGGGTGGCTGCACGTTCGACTTGGGGACCCAAGACATGCCATCTTTTGTCAACTGGGCTCCGATATCTTCGGATGCCTTCCCAATATTTCCTTTCCAATACCTCTCTGTTCCCTTTGGGGCAAGGTTCTGTCGTTCAAGTGAGCCTAGAGCCCCAACAGTCCAATCTTGGCAATTTTGGTTTCCTCGGGGCAAGTTCGAATTGTTGTTACCGTAGGAATCCAGCACCTGCGCGGCCCGCACTCTGCCAGAGTTGGACAGCCGGGTGATGTCGCTTCTGCCGTAGGTGGTAGTTGACTCCACAGGACGTTGTTGGGGATGGTAGTAGAAGTCTTCGTTCTTGCGGACATGGTAGAGGTCACCAGATTGTTCACCGGTTTTATGAATCATGGCCCCCCAGTGGGCAGGAGGGTCGTTCATGGCCGGATCACCTCTTCCGTAGATGTTAACGCTCAAAGTGTGCGTTTTCTCACTACCCTGGCTAGCATTGCTAGAGAGAGAGCTGCTCCTGGAGGACTTGGAAGACTTGGAAGAAAAAGGCATTTCGAACAGCGGGGGTGGTAGTATAATGATATTAACAGTTGCTCTATCAGTGAGAATTTTCAATATAGATATACAGAGGTCGGTTTCTTGTAGGATGAAGAGTGGATTATGGATTGCGGCCTTGTGATGAAGAATGGAACCTCCGAACGAAGAGCATACGCCACCATCTTATAGCAGAAAGGGTCGAAGAATATCACAGTTGAAGTCATCCTTCCTGGAAGACGTTGGCGCTTAGCCGCAGGATATGCATGGTATCTGTTTCACAAGTACCCCAAAAATAATATTGGTGACGGAGACGATATGCCCTCTAGTGAAAGGATTACGGTCAACGAGTTTCGACAACCTATCCTCTGAAGAGGCTGTAGAAGCGCTGAGACATCAATAGCGGTTACATGGCCTAGACCATCGATGTGAAAGCTAGTATCGGGCATGAGGTGGGATGCAAGTACATCTATTGGTCATGAGGCGCTGAGAGCATACAAGGCTGAATCCAGGTGTTCGGGGGGGTAGGGTACGGCGCTAGAGGAACTCGCGTGCTGGTTGGAGACCGGTAGCGACAGATAGAAATGGTATACATCTGTATATAGGTGGATTTCATTGCCCTGTGTTGAGTTTGCCGGTTTTTGTTAGGCTCCATATCTATGATTGGATGTCCAGTAACTTTTCATTTGTCGCCGTCAATTGTAGGACTTTACTCGTTGCTATTATGGTAAGAGTAGTACTGTTAGTAGCAGGTGGGGCTCGTAGTGGGAAGATCAGTGGTCCGCGGCTAATATTCCGCCATCGAACTTCGGTTTCCCCCACCTCCTCTACATCTCAATAACCGAGATTGTGCAGTGTAGTGGGTGTAGTGCCCAACAGATGATATCCTGTGTTAGTCTTTAACATTCTAATCGATACACAATTCTCTCACATCATCGTCTTGGTCTTTGTAACGAAGGCATGGCCAATAGCGGGGATCCCTTCACCTTGGCAGACGTGACCAGCATGCTTGACAAGCTGCCATCAATCATTGCGGAAGCGCGTTACGCTGAGTTGTGGGGCACACAGCTCGATAACGATGACGATAGAAATAGAGAGATAGTAATCGAGAAGGTAAGGCTGTCTTCTGGTTCCAGAACGTCAACCACTTACGCGTCAGCAGTTCCTTGAGCAGCATTCCATCTTACCCATGCTTCGTCAATCCAGAGCGAGCGCTTCGCTTAGGAGCGCCTTGGAATGGAGACGCTCTGTCAAGCCTAAATCAGCTCTAACTGAAGCAACGGACATTCTCACAAAGACAGGACTTCAACGCCTAACACGTACGGGTAACACGCATATCATGTGGATAATCATCGATGAGCAGACTATAAGAGGCCTGCCGTTGTTATACGAAGAGTTCATGAAGAAACATGGACTCGCGAAGCTTGGCATTGCCGCCCTCGAGAACCTTGCATCTCTGATTCTTGATGTCGATCCTGTGGTTACTGGTGGTCGAAATGTCAAAGCATCCTGTGTTGTACAATTCAGGCTTTCCACCTTGCCGACCGGCCGCGATCTAGGCATCCCATTCCGCCGCCGGGTCCGCGACGTCCTTGCAAACACCGCCCTTGAACTTCAGAAGTATTACCCAGGTCTTATTGACCGCACTTATGTTATACAACCCTTTGATGGATACCTTGACACTTTGGACATTCGGGAAAGCTTGCTCAAAAAAACTACCGTACTAAAAAGCCCTCAAGAGCTGGCATCCTATTTGGGTGCCGACATACCACCTGAATTTGGGGGCAGAGGTATGCCACTGGACGACTGCGACGTTCTGAGCGCTATGAGCAGTGAACCTGTTCTTCCGCCTACCACGCCAGAAGAACCCCAAGACAAGCCCCTAAAAACTGAGTCAACCGTGGACATATGTGAGGGAACTAGAGAAAGAGCAATGCCGTCTCCACATGAGATCGTCGATGATCCTACGGGGGAAGGGCCCCAACCGCAATTAATCTTCTCGGAAGACATTGGGCCGCCAACAATAATATTGGACCCATCTGATCTCGAGACTGCAATCGAGCTCTGTCCGGATAAGATGGGTGCGCGTCTCGTTTGGGCCGATTCGGATATGATTGTTAAGTACGGCCACGGGGTCCGGCTTGCCGAGGCAGAAGCAATGCATTTGGTGTCCAGCCGGACCAATATCGCCATTCCCAAGTTACTCAGTGCCTACATTCTGCAAGGGGTGTGTTATATAGTAATGTCGTACGAAAAAGGGGAACCTCTCAGCGAGTACTGGGATCGTGTTTCAGAGTTAGAGCGGCAAAATGTCCTTACCCAGCTACGCGACTATGTCGCACAAATGCGGCAGATAAAGGGTGATTTCATTGGGGGGATCGACTCATCTCCCTGTCGTGACGGTATCTTTGAAGGAGGATGGGGTGCCTATGACAGTTATTCGTATGGACCGTACGCAACTGAGGACGAGTTCACTGAGGGGATAGTTCAAGCCTTGAGGGATCGGCTGCCCCCACAGCGACGAAACGGGTCGCCTGACGTTGACTCCAGGTTCTTCAAAAATGAATATCTGCTCTACCAGACCGTCAGAGAACTAAAGAAGATGAATCATTCCATCGTCTTCACACATGGAGATTTGCATCCAGGTAATATATTGGTACGTTCTGATAGAACTGTTGTCATCCTAGACTGGGGTTTGGCAGGATACTGGCCTGATTATTGGGAGTTTTATCGTGCGATGTTCAATGCACCTTGGCGGCCATCATGGGATACTATGGTAGAAAGGTTCGTGCCGCCTTTTTATGTCGAGTGTGCTATTTTGCAAAAGGTGTTTGCCATCATATGGAATTAGCAATTCTCTATTGGGTTGCTACTGTTTCTTTTTTATCCCCAACCGCTTATCTCTATCCATATATGTCTATCGCAAGTTACGGTGCTCGCATTCACAGTGCACTGTATTCAGTATCCTCATGACTCAACAACGGCGCAGCGCCGAAACGTAGATTGGACTCGGAATATGGAAGGCTCGCTATCCCTACGGTGGACCAAAAGCTCCCTGTATCCTGGTCGCCTGAAGCGAAGAATCATAGACTAAAACTAGATAAGAACGAGATATCTCTAAGACAGCTTTTAAAACTTTAGGTCACAACAATAAGGCTTGGTTTCATGGTTGATAAATTGAGTAATACCCACAAAGAAACGATATAGTTCTTCAAACGACAAAGAATATGGCCAGAATAAGAGCAATGGCTTTGGCAAAAACAAAGAAATTCAAGAAAGACAGAATTTACCCAAACTACTGTCACTAACATCTTTGTTTAGAAGGTAAAATCAGGTCGATGACACAAAGCGCACAAAGACAAAAACATATTTCATTATCAGTTTACGTTCAACATAAACTCAATGGAGGGTTCCCAGCTAGGTGCAGGTATATCCCGGTATACCAGTGACCGACTCAGAGATTATTCCTCCGGGTGGGTTACACCCCTTTTTACCGTTGTAATCGTAAAAGCGCCCTACATACTGAATCAGCGATAGACATAAAATGGTGGATTGTTGTTGTTTTCACCTACCGTCAGCACACTGGCAGTATGTTTCGGAGAGACCGCAACGAGGGAGAGCACTATGATATCAGTCAGCGAATGTATCTCATGACATCAAACAAGGCACACATCATGGTCTTTGGGTATATTCATACAAGGGATAGCAACCACTGGCAACGCCGCGAGACCCCAGGCCGCTATTTGGCGTGTCTTGGCCTTCGGTAGTAGGGGCCGCCAGGGCTCCACAAATGATTGCAATGATCGTGGACATAATAGAGAGCTTCATTTTAGTGAAGAAATCGGTGCTTTCCGGTGTATCGAGAACAGTGTAGTTAATATATAGTGTATGAATTCCATGGGATAATAAGGCAGCAAGGGATATAGCTGGACTATATATCTTTGATTACTCAAAGGTCGAATAAACAAAGGGATTGAGCTAGCACTGTACAAACAGATGGTGCCATAGATGAATACCTTTTTGCTCAGCAAATAGAAAAATAGATGAATAGGCCATCGCGTGATACGCTGTTATTGTCTGGAAATAGTTAACAATAGTATTGGTGCTATCTGGAAAGAAAGGCAAAGAAAATGGAAGAGACTTCGGACAACGACAAAGCATAGGCTTCAAAGCCTTGCATCGTCTGATACTATTTACGCATCTAGAACTAAATTCTGAAGACAACCTACTTTGTCAAAACAGACATAATTGCAAGGAGGCAAGTAATTGTCTACTTAGTACCTCTGCATGCGGTGTGTACTTTGACTTCGAAATATGTCCAGGTATGGGTCTCAACCAGTGAAGTCTACTATACGCGTGGATTAGTGACCTTGTCAAACAATGAGCGCACTATAGCCAATTGAATAGCTTGAAGTGGCACACTATTTATGTGTTAAATAAGTCCATGTTCAAGAAATACGATGTGTTGGAGTGGTACCAGAAACTATGGCGCTATCACATGACCTATCTTTGTAACGTATTGTCCCGCTGGGAGGCAGTCGTGTTCAACTCTCGGGACATCTTCCCATTCCAACCCACATACATTGAAGTAAGCTTCGTTGGCGTCCATAATGCTCACATCATGTTATACTTGCCGGCGTAGGCATGTCGAATGTCAAATGACCCTACCACCGTGCAAGAAGTGCCTAAAGGCAGGTCTAGAGTGCCTGCAAAAAAGACCCCTCCGTTGGGTCGACGGGCCGGCTTTTCGGAATAAATTGCGAACTTCACAAGGCCATCGCTTATATCAACCCAGCACCTTCAACAAAGCTACTGACGAGGTATCTTCTATTTGTGATTCTGGCTTGGCAGCACCAACTTTCGAAGCCATAGCCCCTGACGAAAGGAACGGACAGTCAACCGTTTCGCACAATAGAGGTCACAGCAGCATCCACATAAGCATTCCACCTAGCTTGAAGGATCCCGCTTTTGACAGCCTGGATGATGCTTCCATATATTACTTGAATTACTGTCAGTGTGCTCAAGCAAATGCGATGTGATCCACACCTAATGACATAGTCAGATAGCAGATGTGTGTGCAAGTTGTTTGTCATGTTCGACAGTCAGCGAAACCCTTTGAGGCAACTCATTCCGGCAGCGTTGGCTAATCCAATCTTGACTGCTTCGGTCATGGCTTTATCAGCGCGCCACATGGCAAACGGCCAGCAACTAGATTGTGAAAGGCAAGATAAAGACCACGCGACGCGCTTTCAGTCGCATCCTGATGGTTTGATGTACAAACAAAAGGCCATACGCGGGTTAATCCAGGCGCTCAACGATCCAGTACCGAAGTCGCGAGACGTTCTGGTTCTGAGTGCGTTCATATTGATCTTCCTCGATCTCTTGGAATCGGGGCGCGACCAGTGGAAATCCCACCTTGGTGGCATCAAGCAACTTGTTCATGACATGCATACTGCGGGAACTTCACAGAATCTAGAAGCAACCATTGAAGGCATGCGGGAATTTATTCTGGGGCAAATCTACCTGTAAGGCTCTAGTATCAAACCATAGGATGGAATGTGCCGTTTTGACATGTTGTCCGTTCCAGTATTGAAACGCTTGGCGCTACATTTTCCGGTCGCAAAGTATTGTCCGGGGCGGATATGTCCCTCGTTGTACCGCTACAAATGAGTATTGACAGGGCCTATATCGGTTGCCCTGAGCACCTGCTATCTGCTGTTCGATTCTTCTCGGCAGCCAGGGACCGCTTAGCTGACCCAAGACACCTTGATACGCCTGAGACATACTCTTTGCTACAGTCAGTCACAAGTATGCTTAACTCTACCAACCTCTTCGATTGCTACGGTTGGGCGAACCAGACTCTACGAGTCTCATACCTCACTCCAACAACACAGAATGTACTGTCGCTGGAACATGTAGCCCAGGCTTATAAATCTGCAATACTGATCTACGGATGGCGCATCTGTGATGCGCTAACTGGAAACAATACTCCATTGAGTGACTTGGTAACCGGCCTGGTCCACGAGGTTCACATATTGAGGAGGGATAAAGCGCTATTTAAGTGCATACTATGGCCCCTTTTCATTGCAGGGTTGGAGTCAGAAGACCAAGCCCAAAGGAGCCAAATCAGAGAATTTCTGGACAGCTTTCGGTTCGAAACCAAATGCATCAATGTGATAAATGCGGTAACAATCCTAGAGAGGTTTTGGGTTGACCCATCGGAGGTGGAAGACGCCTCATGCAGCTGGATTTTTCGAATGGGCCAGGTAGAAGGTGATTGGCTACTAATCTAAATGCGCGAGCTGCACTACAGTTTTACGATATGAGACGTGCCATTTTGGCCATTGGTGGTCAACAAAAGCTGGAAGAAACGCCTTGTGCCTTCAAGAAGATGATCACAGTGATGGAGACAACGGAAAGAAAATCGGACATCAGCGCGACATGACCCGCTGGAGGCTATCTAGCCATTGGTTACATTCCGGAAGCCCCACTCCAAAAGACTGCCTAATCGAGTAATCCAAATCAGTGGGGGGTGCCGATTCCGCTGCCCCAGGCCTGCAACATTGTGAACCAGATAGACCAGCAGGACGCCACGTCGAAATACTACCCAAAGGAGTTAAATCGCGACGACGAGATGACGCAAATACCAGCGGGGTCTGAGCAGGATACAATAATCCAGCCCTGCGCTGTAGGATATATAAAGGTCTACTTCGACATTCCGCCATTGAAATGAACAGCTCTTCAAACAGGACAGCCACTCCTCTTCTAATCCGCCTAGCACTAAGCCATCATCATCTCCTATAATTAAACGAAATGTGCAACGACGAAATAAAAGCCAACGGCTGGTCCAGCATGCCCGCCAATGCCGGTGCCATATTTACGGACCAATCCTTCATCGAAAGGGCAGAAGCCATGCAGCTCGATACAATCATATTCCCCTTCGACGATCCTGTCGTTTCAAAGACCTGGGAATACGCCAGGGCTGTTCTTCACCCCCAGACCTTGAACCATTCCATGAGGGTCTACTTCTACGGTATGTCTATAGTTAACACATCAAAATATATATACTCACTACGTCATATAACGGCAGGAATGGTAATCACCACCCAGCAATTCCCCGAAATAGCAGCATCCCTCAACCCAGTCACCTGGGCTCTGACCTGCCTCCTCCACGACATCGGCACTGCGGAGGAGAACCTAACTGCAACGCGCATGTCATTCGATATCTACGGCGGTATCAAGGCCCTCCATGTGCTGAAGGAGTTTGGTGCCACTGCGGACCAGGCCGAGGCCGTTGCTGAGGCGATCATTCGACATGAGGATATGGGCGTCGATGGAACTATTACGTATTTCGGTCAGCTCATTCAGTTGGCTACTACATATGATAATACGGGAGTTCATCCGCATGTGAAGAGTTTTGAGGGCTTGGTGCATCAGACAACTCGCAAACAGATCAATGAGGCGTATCCGCGGTTGAAGTGGTGTGAATTTTTCTCGGGGGTGATTAGGAAGGAAGAGGCGATCAAGCCTTGGTGTCATTCGACCCATTTGGTGGACTTTGATAGGGAGATAGAAGAGAATACGCTTATGAGGGAGTGGGAGTAATGGTCTTACGGCGGGACTTGGTTACGCTACGATATGCCGTCTCTAGAATGAAATTGTGATACAAGGAAATATCGTGAGATATGCAGATGCTACGGCTATTCTCTCAAGGCAATAATCATGGAACAACAAGTACAGGAAGCCTCTTACCTCCACCACCAAACGTAATGCTTCGGACAACCATCATAGCCCGTCGAGCGGACGCCAGACCTTCATCCAGCGCTACAGTCACGTCAGTCATTTTTCCGTGGGATTCATGCCTCCAGAACATACCTTGTCATACGGCTCATTTGAATTCACGAATCTGAGATCAGTAGCCAACCGAATTCTCCTTTCAGGGTCCTTGTTCTTGCAGCTAGCATGCACCAGGAAGGGGTCGTGGAAGATCACATCCCCGGCTTCATATTCGGTGATCAACCACTTGCGCTTGGCATTTTCGCCATACGCGACTGTATCACGACTGAGAAAACCTCCATCATTCATGTTCTTATTGAACGCCGAGACACGCTCCTCATCAGTCAGATTTGCTGCATTCCGTGCGAATTCTTCCTCGGTCTGTCGACCGATATCGACCGATTTCTCAAGGTACATCAGCCCGCTACCCTCAAGCGAAACATCTCCGATCGGGACCCACGCTGTAAGGCTGGTGGGCGGACCCGCGCGAAGGTACATTTGATCGAAGTGAACAGGAGTCAACTCGCTATCGGGCACAAAGGCACGAAGCATTGTCCGCTGCAGCATCGTGATGTCTTTCCATTCCGTGAGTTTGCGGATGAAGTCACGGAGTTCGGTACTCTCGCACAATTGAAGATAAAATCGCTCCTCGTGCGCCTTGATCATCAGCTCCACATACTTATCCGACTCGTAGTCATCCTTCAGGCCGAAAAGTCGCCGCAGGTTTCCCGGGGGTAGGTACTTGCGACTATCTTTGTCACTGAAGATTCCATCGACGGGGTCTGTTCCTTCTCTGAGAAGACCGGAGGGCTCCATGTAGGAGAAATAGCTCCTGCGGCATTCCAGTACTTGGTCCCGTGGGAGCAGATTCTTGACCTAGATCTGGATTGGTATGGGAGCCATGATGATGAAAAAGAGGGACTTACGAATAGATACCCATCACGAATAAGTCTCTCTCGCATGACCTCAATGGGCGTGTCTTTCGATGTGGGCTGGAGGTATCCAATCTTCTCCGGCAGCATGGGCCCAAAGTTGGATTCGAGCTTGAGATTCTTGGGATCTGTGGGATAGTATTCTCCGTATCTGTCATCTGGAGGTAGTTTGCAATCGCTTGCTACGAGACGAGCGGAGGTAAAGACCTCGGATTCACAAAGAGTCGTTGTTGACATCTTGTAGTAGGATAAAAGGATAGCTGACGATGGCTGCACTTCGTTACAATCAGGCAGAATAAATCAAGTGAGGAGATTGAATCAGAGAAAATGTCAGGAACTTGATGCCGTGGATGGCTTCTCCTTGATATAGGGCAAACCATCGCTCGACAAGACCAACAGACCTACAGCCGTCTATTGCCGACCTGGGAAACCCCGCATCTGTCCCGCACTTCTACAGCCGACGCCTCTCTCATCCCCATTCTGTCTCTGATCTGAATTCGATTAATCCGTCCAACGGTCATGACTAGAAGTACCGGCGCAAGGCTCTACCGGGCATGTCTTCGTTGTCGACAACGGAAAACGAAATGTGATTTGTAGGTACTACCCATATCCCACACCGTTCATTCCTTCTCACATCGACCATCCCAGGAAATATACGGAAGAGGGAACCCATGCGCCATGCTCAAAGTGCAACCTGGAAGGCCACCAATGCATGCCAGCCACCTCCCGAAGAGGAGGTGACTACTCTCGATTTCGGGGTCGTCGTCGGGGAAACACCGAGACGCAGACCCCGAGGTCCAGTGAGCAGAGTGAAACCAAGACAGAACTAAAACCGAATGCCCGGCAGGCGGAAACGGTGGGCGTGGACAATGATACCCTTTTCCGTGGGGGTGTCCGGAATCCCTTAGAAGCTCTTCAAATCCTTGCTCAGACAGCTGCTACTGTGGGGGAAGATGACAGTATACCTTCGCCCGAGAGGCTCCCTCAAAGATCGGATGACACAGGGCGTGAGGTGGTGAAGTCTGTACCTTCTAAGCCTCACAACCAACCTAGGGCATCGATAATGGCCACAGAGATCGTCAAGGAGGGAGTCATCGACGCAGTCGACATTGAACCCCTGGTACAATAGTATGTCCCGGTCTCATGGCTATAGTGCCTGCACTAACACATAGGATACAACAAGCTATACCATAAACTATCATCCTTATTTTCCTATCGTGTCCAGCAGTCTATTATACACAGAAGACCCCGAGCACCAATGGGCTACTGAGACGTTTCTCCTTACCTCCGTCCTTACAATAGCCACTCAGAACAGGCCGGATCAGAAACATCTTCACACCCGGATCAGGGGGTATATCGATAAATTAATCCTCCGTGTCACCCTTGGTGCTCGGAGCGTGCGACATGTTGGAACTGTTGAAGGCTTGCTACTTCTAGCTGAGTGGATGCCTCATCTAATGCTTTCCCAGGATCAGCCTTACAGCAATAACTCGGAGCAAAGCAATGCATATGACGAAGACTGCGTGGCATGGAACCTGATAGGCCTTGCAGTCAGACAGGCATACTTATTACATTTAGACACACAATCCTTTCCTTTTGAGGTGGAATCCGAGCCACTTAGTATGCGCTGCCGGAGACGACTGGCGTGGATATGTATGCGATCCCGACCTCAGATATCATGACTCAACATAACGACTAACTGTTTTAGTTACTTATCTCGCCGACCGGCAAATATCAATCCAAATGGGCCAAGCATTCTGGTCCCGCGGACCTAGTCTGTCGACCCGATTCCGCACCCAAGATTACCCATCCCTCCAACCGGAGATCACTGGCGGAACGGATTACGCATCCTTTGTCCAGGCTCAAGTAGAACTAACAACTATCTTCGGAAACACCCACGACATTCTGTACGCATTAAAGTCGCGCACCCTACAGATAATGCTCGCTGGCGACTACCCCAAATACCTCGACGATTCCGCTAAAGCAATGGAGATGTGGAAGGGAACCTGGTCAAACGTCGACATTCCCCCGTCCCTGCGCTGTCTCCTCACCCTACAATATCAGTACTTACAACTATATGTCAACGCTTTCGCATTCCAAGCCGTTCTATATCGCTCCTCTAAAGCCCTCACCAATACGAGTCATGACGACAACGCACCCTTATTCCCAGACGGAGTCATGGCCAGTGCCGATGCTCGCCATATCTACGCAGCCATCAGCGCAGCCAGAGATTTACTCCAAACATTCGTCGAAGAGATAACCCCATCCGATATTGTGAAGTTCCTTCCCGTTCGCTATTACCTGTGAGCCTTCCCCCTTACTCCTCCAGATGACAATCCACTAACAATGTAGCTACGAAATTTACGCCTCCGTCTTCCTCTTCAAAGCTTACTCCGTCGGAGCCATCCCTCCCGACGAATCCCAAACATACTTCAACTTAACCCGACAATTCATTTCTATGCTCAAAGCTACCGCTACAAGTCAAAAGCATATCGCCCATCGCTACGCAAAACTACTAGGTCAGCTATGGTGTCATGGGAAGGTTACTCCCGAGTTGCACCAGGGTGGTGCCATCCAAGAGGACGAATATACCACTCTCCAGGAGGACGCAGCTGGCGCGCCTGCAAATCCTGACGGTTTTTTACAGCCAGTCAACGTGGATACTGATTTGATGGATGTGTTTTCGGGTTCTTTGCCGCTGGATCTGGGCCGCTCTTGGGATTCCGAATTTTATGATGAGACGCTGTTTTCCAGTTTGCCGTTCTTTCGTGGGTTTCGGGACTTGGAGGGTGATTATGTTGCGTGAGGCAAGCTTCCTGGGGGTGCAATGTACTCGTTCTAGCAGTTGTGTGTCTTTGACGGACTGCCTGTATGGATTTCAGATCGTGATCAGCTCACCGCAGCCTAAATGAGGAATTGAATCATGGATAAAATTGTCGTTAATGATAGTTTATTATTTCATTTAGTGGTTGTAAGTGCCAGAGTGAGTATTCCCAATGCCATGATTCATACGTCTTATACTAAGTACCACATTGCTGATGCCATCCAAAACATATAACTACCAGTAACCAAAGAGCTTCAAGTAGTCCTTGACCAGTTTAGCTCTGCTCTTATACACCTCATCCGGCTTGGCATCGGCTACTGGATCGTCACGGTACAATCCTCGCCCGCCGACAGCTGCACAGAAGCCAAAAAATGCAATCAACGTCTCTGCTCCCTCCATATCTTGAGGCCTGACTACCTCTGCCATGTGCAAGGCCTCGTATAGATTCTTCGCTATGTTATAGTGGCATTGCGCACCCATGCCGTCATTGTAGTAGGCATAGTTGTCAAGATCTCTCAGATCGACGTCCACGTCTCCATCTGGAAATCCTTCTAGGATGCATCGGGACATGGCACGGCTGTCCTTATCAAAGGGAAATAATAGCGCGCCATGTAGGCTGTTGTAGGAGTGGATGAACTCCTCCAGGGGATGACTGAGAGAAGCATAATTCCAGTTGAGGATGTAGGATATGATCGGTGTTTGATCTGGTCTTTCTGAGATAAGAAAATTCCCAAGTTCTAGAGTCTTATGTTAGCTGAAGGGTTCAGGGACTGGTTATGGCTCAGGGGGGGGGGGGGGGGTGCTTACCGATCCTGTTCAGGGTGAATGTTGGGCGATACTCGGGTATCTCAGCCACTACATCTGTAACAGACTGCTCAACGAAATTTTCAAGCTTCCTTCTCAACTCTGGGCTCCTTCTCCATCCGTCGATATCTGGTCGCTTTTCCGCCCTTCTCAAATCTCGCCGCAGTAACTCTGTGAGGTAAGTACCTAATTTGCCAAACGGACCGCCGACGCCGTTCATTAGGGTCTCGCCAGAGCGAACATATCCTTCCTTTGAAAATCTAAAACCCCCGTATCCCTGACATATAGCCATATGATCATAGTCTTGAAAGAGCTTGTGTAGTGTCGCAATCTGTCCCAAAATCTCGCCTTGGTGTTCCGAAGACATTTGATAAAACGACTGACTCAGTGGGGCATCCCCGGGTGGATGAGAGCTATGGATAATCCATGCCTTGTTATGTTCATCATCGCTTCCATCGCTCCATGCATATACCTCCGGCACAGTGCGGAGAAAGACGGTGTTGTAAAGAATCGTTCGCGCCGTGTACATAGCAGCGACCTTGTTCTCCGCCCAGCGCCTCTTGTCCATGTTTTGCTCAGAAATTTTGAACTGTATGATTACTTGCTTCGTTCCTGATGGCATGCGTGCCACTCCAGGCTGTTTAGGAGTGTCGCGTATGTTCCACATAGTATGGAGGAAGTAGACTTCATAAGAGATGGTGTTTGCGTTGTAGTCAAGAATGGGAGCGCGCTCCACTCCGTCAACGGTGATACCAAATGTCTTTTCTACCAATTCTCTGGCGCGAGCATCGAGCCTGGATGCTCCGGTATTAGATGAAGGGGGTGAAGGTGGGAAGGTAGATCCGGCCATAGTGAGCAACTTCTGTCGACTGTAAATTAGTGAAGTATGCCAATTATGTTGATAATGACTGCGATGAGTGTGATGAGGAGGATGGCCAAAGTTCCTGGGGTTGCTGTTGAGGCACTATTTAAGAACAATGGAACGGGTGACATAGGAATTATCATCATATTTAAACTTCACTTGCTTCGACAGGGTAAACTATCGTATATGAAAAGAATGTATCAAACTAAAAAGAAGTGTTGATTTGAGAGGAAAAGATGGCAAGCCATAGGGACATGCCTCCTCAGGCAATGTTTTCTCTTGGGGTATAGAGTATGGCCGTGATGTTTTGGGAGTTCTATACTCAACATTCTCCCAAAGGTGGCAGGTACCGGTCTCGCCGACCAATATAGAAGGTTTGTCCCAGACCTCGCTGGGTATTTCGTGAACTCTTTGTGGCCTGCAAATGTTATTCTTTCGTTCATCCATAAAATCATAGTAGAAGCCTAGTTGACAGGCATCATTCCCGTCCACTGTAAGCTTTTCGACGCCCTGTCGTAAATGCCACAACTTTTCGATGGAAATTCCCCGATGGCTCAGGCAAATTGTTTCGCCGAAACCGAGTCATGATTCCAGCTCTGACTATCTTCGTCTCAGTAACTTGTTATCACATCATAAAGAAGTGTGATATTAATGCCATCTGTTTGGTTCAAGTCGAGAATAACTTCGAATGTCTTCGATTGGCAAGTTACTCCAGGACCTCAATTGAAAGAAGATTTACTGTCAATGAGTTGACTTATACCATTTCAATGTGGGCGCAATGGCGTAAGCTGACCGGATATACCTGAGACAGGAACACTAAAAGTTTAAGCACCTTCGCTAAGGTTCGCCGCTTTATTCCAATACCGGTCTTTCTAATGAACACGACTAATAAAACTTTAAGATAGCTCATGCATGGCCCCGAATATACCCCCACAGGCGGAAGGCACATGCCTTAGCGGCAAGCAAAATTCCGTGTTACCACGGACAAGTGATGCCACGTTCGCTTCACATTATACGTGGACTGATAATGCTATGGATAGACATGAGTTTGATTATGGCTAGACTACCACGTGACAAATTCTAGAGTTCCAGAATAGCAAAAGCCTAACTTTTGATCCCCATCCTGACAAGAATTGTCAAGTATGCCATGTAGACAACACCTAGCAGTTGTGCTCAGCCCATGGTCAGCATACGGCGAAACAGGGAGACCGATCCGAATTATGGTACACTGTAGCTTCTCAGCATCACACACAACAACTGTAGTGGAGATAGTGGGGTGTGTTGTGATGATGGGGATTCTTGCCATCGGAGTGCGAGATGCACTCTGTGTGAGGGGATAATTTGTAGTATCTTAGTCACTCTTCTGCCTAGCCATGCTGCGGGGAGATCAATCTTCACATGGCAATCCTTCTCAAGCAATACCGAGAAGCTCGTTGGTCCAGCTGGGTGCCATGGCGTTGGCAGAGAGGATAGCTCCCAAGTCAAGCGAATCACGGAACGAGCATCGGCAATTGGGAGCTGGGGGCCTCGGTTCGGGATGCAGGAGTAGCAGCAATAGCAGCAGCTAGACCCTTATATAATGGACAGGAGCGCCGCTAACAGACGGGCCAGACGCAGGAGACCGGCAGTGATGGAGGTCAGTCAACTACCGCCGATCCACCAGATGGAGCCCTCACATTGGTTGACACTCCGGGGACCCCGCGCTACCCCAACATTCTCCCCGGACTAGTCTGCCTTAGGCTGGTCCCTTATCATTGATCCTCATCAAACTCGCCAGCCAGCAAACGCGCGGCCATGAATCCACTCGCGCTTCCGGACAAGTCATCCCCGATCGACTTGGGCCCCCCTGGTGGGGTGGGTTAAATCCCCAGTTGCCTGCTGCTCCTCGTGGGCTATCGTACGATCGTGAAGCCTGTCTCCCAAACGCATCGTGCCACCCTGCAGCACCCCATCTAGCCATCCAATGTCCAGCATGTCGCTCGAAGACTCCTCCAAGTCGCGATCGGACTACATTGAAAAGACCGAATTGGGCGATCTGGCCACGGAATTACCTGGGAGTACCCTTTCAGAGCCGCACAAGGCATACCTGCTACAGCGACATGGCACGTTAGATCTGGATCCGGTCCCTAGTATGGACCCTGCGGATCCGTACAATTGGCCCCTCCTGAAGGTGAGGAATCACATCTCCGTCGAAATTATTAACGGTAACTAACGAGTCAGAAAATTATCAACCTCCTTCTAGTCGCCTTCCACGCATGTATGGGCACTTTTACCGCCGCAGCCGTCATCCCAGCCTACGAAGAAATTGCCGAAGATGTGGGTGTCTCTCTGCAGCGAACAAGCTATCTGACCTCCCTCCAAATCGCCATTCTCGGTGGTGCTCCTCTTTTCTGGAAGCCACTTTCCCAGCGCTACGGACGCCGTCCTATCTTCCTCCTCTCGTTGATCCTCAGCTGCGTCTGCAATATTGGCTGTGCTAAGAGTCCGGATTATGCGTCCATGGCAGCATGTCGTGCCTTGGTGGCCTTTTTCATCTCCCCGGCTATGGCGATTGGCAGTGCTGTTGTCACGGAGACATTCTTTAAGCGCGAACGAGCACAATATATGGGTATCTGGGCGGTGATGGTCACTCTGGGAGTGCCTGTGGGCCCTTTGATTTTCGGTTTTGTGGCTCAACGTGTAGGGTATCAGTGGATTTACTGGACTCTGGCTATTGTAAGCATCGGTGCTGCAACATGTAGGGGGACTAAAATTAACAATGGATTTTCTAGACCAACGCCGTCCAATTCATCCTCTACGTATTCTTCGGCCCCGAAACACGATACATCGGCACCGACTTGCACGCCTCCTCGGCCTTCAAGCACCAATACCTCTCCATTCGACGCATCGACCCCACCCCCTTCCAACTCGCCGAGTTCTACCATCCCCTCACCCTCATCACTAACATTCCCGTCCTCATCGCCTCTGCCGCCTACGCCATGGTCTTCCTCTTCGCGTCCGTCATGAATTCCGTCGAGGTGCCCCAACTGCTACAGTCGAAGTTTGAGCTCAACGCTGAACAACTTGGGTTGCAATTTCTGGGTCTTATTATTGGTTCGCTGCTGGGTGAACAGCTCGGTGGTGTTCTGTCGGACACTTGGATGAATCTCCGCGCAAAGCGGACCGGTCACAAGCCCGATCCCGAGTACCGTTTGTGGCTCAGCTATATCGGATACTTGCTTACTATTGCGGGGGTGGTGGTGTTCCTGGTCTGCACGGAGAACGCACAGACCGGGAAATGGAGTGTCAGCCCGATCATCGGCACAGGGATTGGAGCGTTCGGGAACCAGGTTGTCACTACGGTGTTGATCACATACGCGGTCGATTCGTACCCGGCTGATTCAGGGAGCGTGGGTGTATTCATCAACTTTATCCGGTCTACATGGGGGTTCATTGGACCATTCTGGTATGTCGTCCATGTATATTGCAATTGACTACCTCCTAACAGTTATTAGGTTCCCCGATATGTTCGATACTGTGGGCATTGCAAAGAGTTCAGGGGTGGTGACGGCGTTGCTGATGGGCGTGAGCTTTATCCCTACAGTGATCTTGCAGTGGCGGGGGAGCAAGTGGAGGAGTGCTTAATTCATATGCCATAGATCACATTATATACATTAGTATGATAACGAAGTGAGGTTCGATCAATCAATCACTCCTAACATAGACTCTTTCCCTCTATGCTATTATAGTAAAGCTTCCATCACATCTATCACCACATTACCACCCAACCCTCCTCCTCTAGCTCCCAAAGTATACTCAATTGACCGTATTCAAACATTGACTCCTGACCAAACCCCCTTCCCCATCCCTTCCAACCCTACTAGTCTGCACCGGCATCATCCCACAATCATCCAACACCCACGTCAAGATCCTGACCACCTCCCCCTCCGTAACCCCCTCATTCACCCCCAACTCCACCGCCCGGATCCACGGCGACGCCCCAAAGCACATATTACACATCAACTTTCGTCTCTCCCAACAGACCTTCTCCACCATGAAGCTCGTCCGAAACGCCGATGAGTTCGAGACCAGGATGCAGTCCCGGGGTGTTTTGGCGTCCAACTCACCCATTATGTCGATCTTGAGCGGGAGGTGTTCCGGTACGCATTCGATCACGAGCCACGCGTCGCTGACTGCGGGGGTTATGTCCGCGGAGGAGAAGGGATGGATTTGGCCTGCTGGGCGGGAAATCAAGGGAAAGGTCGTGTAGTGTGGGAGGTTCTCGGTTATGTATTGTTGGGCGGAGTGCAAGGCTCCTTGGCTTGGGTCGTGGAGGTGGACGGTGTGACCCGCTGCGGAGAAGATGCAGGCGATGCGGCGGCCTAAGTTGCCAGCGCCTAGGATGGCTAGGGGTCGGGTGTAGATTGTGGGTGGGGTGTAGGGGATGGTTGGGAGGTCGTCGATGTGGTCGGTGGGTAGGGTTAGAGTTGTGGTGTTGGGGTCGGTGGGTGGTGTGGCTGGGTTGGTTGTGTCTAGGTTTGTGAGGGACATTATAGTGGTTGGTATTAATGTATATTCCAGTGTAATGAGGAGAGATATATTTAGGGGGGGTGGTTAGCTAGTATAGTTGTCTATATATGAAGCAGTACCCTAAGCCACGACCGGTTTCTATCTCGGGCGAAAGCAGGATCTAATCCCCGGGAAGATATGATATATGAACACCGTCGGGGTTCATTGTCAGTATTATGCAGAGGCAACGTGGAGGGGATGAATTGTTCCTTGATGAGGAATATCCCAGATGACATCATGGTCAGTGATCCTCTAAGGTGATGCCTGATTGGGATATAGATTGGAGGTGAGAGTTCGGATCGGGGATATGGTTCCATGTGGTGGCTGGCCTTTTGAACAGCTGTTGGCAGCACTATCCTATGACAGGGAATTGGAAAATTTTAACCTGGCCAGAGTCTACCCAGACAGGGTTTGCAGATCTGGAAGTGTAAAGCCTAATTGGGTTGTTGGGATCATGCAACGCGAGAGTATGACGGGTATCAGTACTATGCACTTCAGCCTGTCTCGGGAACACGAGGGACCTGCTATGGGTGGAAGTACTCATATGAGAGACTGAAGCTGTCATATCCTGTATTTGGTGTTGGATCGTTAAGGAGCTTGCGTTGAGAGCGACGTGCGGCGCTGCCTGGAACTTCCGAGGCTTATATTCCCACCAATCAATGAAGCTTATATCAAAATGGGAACAGTGAGAATGATTCTCTGCCTACCAGGGACTGCGTGGGTAATCCGTGGTCAGAAGTAGGTAGAGGAATTGCAGATGAGAAAATCTGACTGTGTGGTTCACAGCGGCATTTATCATCGACTGACATCCATTGACCTGAACGTGGGTTTATGTTTGCAGCTCAAGTCCAGCATCGTCCTATGTGACAACACAATCTGCTAATACCCCCAAGCAGTTCAGCTTTGCTGCTCAACGGCTATCGACATCTAACAGCTAATATCGTCCGGCACATTCTCACAATCAGAGCTGGTCTTCCCTCCACTGACATCCACATCCGTCCAAGTCCAGTCTGTGCAACTGTCCGATCCGCAGACAATATAGATATTCGTACCCGAGCTCTCTACACTCCCCTGCACATTGTCAAGGACAAAGTCCTCAATGGTAATGCCATCAGTCGGGGATTCGCTCGTATCGTCATAGTTCTGCTCCACCACAATACCGTAGTCGGTGATATCGGACAGGGTTATCTCCTTGTAAGTAACCTCGCTTACCGACCCAGTGTCGCCGTAGATGGTCTTGATGCGCACTCCTATACCCTGCTTAGCATGTGATCGCACCGAACAACAACCTTAATACAAAACCTACCGTTCTGAGAGCTCTTGATCTCCGAGTCGTAGAAGGTCACGTTCTTCACGGTGTTGTCACTGCGACCACCAACGGAACCGATCGACAGCCCGTGGCCACCGGAGCAGACGCCTCCCGAGAAGTAAATGTTCTGTTCCATCAGTGCCACATCCATAGTCTGAAGGAGAGTATACCCACCTCGCCTGAGTTCACCGCCACACAGTCATCTTGGTTGTATACATTTGCGCCCGTGATGGTGATGTACGTACTATCACCAATATCGAAACCATCAGTGTTTGCTGCCTCGCCATCATCGCCATCCGAGTTGTCAATGGTGATGTCCTCCATAGTGAGATAGGTCGATCCATCGATGCTGAACACCTGCACCGGCGAGTTCTGGATGTAAATCCCGCTGATCGTGGACGAGGTCAGATCGTGGGCGTAGAAGAACTTGGGCTTCGTCTTGCCACCATTGCTGCCCTCACCGTCCCACCAACGACTGCCGTCACCGTTGAGATAGGCGCCGTCGGCTCCGGTGACAGTGATGTCAGTTCCGGAGACGGAGACAAGGGGTCCGCTCCATTCCTCGTAACCAAACGTGGTTTCGCCTTCGAAGATGACCTGTCCACGTTAATTGTGAGAATCGCGCGTCGAGGAACAGTAACTTACGTGAGTCCCATCATTCAGATCGGTCAAATCCAAAGTGGTACCTGAGGGCACTGCCACATCGGAGAGCACAATGGTGGAGCATGAGGTCTTGGACTTGCTGGCCGAAGAGGCCCCCTCGGACCCGGAGAATGTGCACGATGTTGCGCGCTTTGCCAAATCATCGAGTTTAGGAGCAGGAGTCACCAGGGGATCGGCAACGGGGCTCGCACTGACCAGTGCCGCCCAGAGCGTTAGGATGATCACCGAACTAGAAGTCACCATTTTGAAGACGCCGCAGATCAAAGTTTAAGACAAGCTTTTAGTTAATGTCTTGGTACCTCTTGGAGTTTCTTGGCTGGCAGTAGGTGCTCATTTTATACTCCTTGCATCTGTCATCGGGTCATCTCTGCTATCTCTGTGGTGGAATATCTCCCTGGTTCCTGTGGACGGCACTTCGCATCTCCGACGGAAGAACTGCCGTAGCGCGCGGGACAATGTGATAGTTCCTGCAGCAGTTCTGCACGGTTCTTCTCCCCACGGAGCGCCACACTATATTTCCCGTGCCTGACGCGCAATTCCTGTAGTGAACCTCATCCGGTTACCCGGGGCGTGCAGCAATGAGTGGTGGGAAATTCTGATCGGTCACTGTACCTGAGGCAGCCATCATGGCAGCATAGTGCTTGTGAGGGGTCTATGTTCCGATGGGGTCGGCAGTCGGACGCCGGGATCATCTCTGAAGAATCAATGATGATCGTGGTAGGCTTGTTGCAGGAAGAGTAGCGGTTTGCGAGCCTTCAAGGGTGTCATCACACGGTCTCATACAAGTCAGGCCATATTGTAGCTTTGGTGCATAACTGTGACCGTATTAAACTGCATTATTGACTGACTGGGCCTATCTGCGACATAGCTGACATCTCCCTGTCATGCAGGCGACCATGGGGGTGCAGTTAGACCAGAGGCAGATGGTGTTTGGCAATCCAATTTTTGGAGAACACTGGTCGTGATGAACAGACACCACAGGGGTAGCCAGACATTCCATATGACCTGAGAAACTGGAATTATGAAGATTCGTATGCTGATTTGGTCAAAGAAAAAGGGGTTTCACAGACATTATCTGACTCCGTCCTAATTACCAGGAGCCTTAGCAGACGCGCATGGCAATTTCGGACCTAGTTGGCCTCACTGTCGAATGTTGCCCCGTTAACAGCACATGAATGACTTCCCTGGTCTGTTGCCTGACATCATATGGAGCCATGACTAAAACAAGCTATTCTCATTCCGTCGATCAATCAGTTAATCAATCAATGATTGATACCCCCTTGCTGATGGCCCAAGAGGGACTGATTGATAAGGCGCGATAAGACAGCGATAAGATAGAACGATCGGCCTCTTCCGCGACCGGGACTGCCCGATGCCGATGGAGGCGTGGGGAATGCGACAGCTATTTAACCATTGTCAATTGCTCGCAATTGTGCTAGAATCCGGATCGCTTCTGAAAGATTTGCACAATGGCTCCTACAGTTCGCTCACTACCTCCGCCTCCAGGCTCCGATATTGATTTCGGAGCCATTGTCGAGAATATTAACCTCGAGAACTTGACCGGTAGGATCAGCTAATTGCGATGCCATTGGAACCGTTGCTGATACTTGTTAGATGACGACTTCGGCGTCATTCGCAGAGCGCTGTACGAGAACCTCGTGGTGGTGGTGAAAAACCAACACCACCTCTCTCCGAAAGCACAATACGAGCTTACCCGTCGATTCGACCCGGCCGCCTCGCAGTACGGCCACGGAAAGACCCTTGATGCGAAACGGAGCATTCTGCATCCCGACCTTAAGACCGTTCCTCATCAGCCTCAGGTCCAGGTGATCGGCCATGGTTTCGTGGAGGCTTACGAGGGCCTCACCAATATTCAGCTGAAACACCCCCACCATCGTACATTCCACCGCGACGCTATTCCCGACGAGGAGGACTATGATTTCACCCGCTTCTACCGCTGGCACATCGATGCAGCCCTGTATGATTTTTACCCACCTAATGTCACGACTTTGTTGGCAGTGCGCGTCCCCAAGGGCCGGAGACAGACATTGCGGTATGACGACGGATCAAACGAGACGCTGGATGTGCCTTTGGGAACGACGGCATTTGTTAGCGGCGAAAGAATGTTTGAGATGCTCTCAGACGAGGACAAGCAGTTTGCGCTTACGAGTCGTGTGGAATATGCGCCCCACCCGTATGTTTAGCCACTCTTGTCATAATCGCGAAGCCTGCTGACATGAACAGTTACATCTGGATGAGTTCCGCTCGTGCTCTTCCCACCGGTCTCGGTCTCTACTCCGAGGACAAGGAACTCCCTTTGCCTGACCTACCTCCTATCGACGAATCTAAAATCCAAATCTTGCCCATGGTATGGAAGAACCCCTTGACGGGCAAGCCTGCCCTTCAAATCCACCCGTCTGCGGTGCGCAAAATCCACCGCAAAGATGGCACCGTGATTGATGATTTGGCTCGCGTGCGAGAGATTGTGTACAAACTGCAGCGCCCAGCGATCAGCCCCCCTCATGTGTATCCGCATGACTGGGAGGAGGGTGATCTGGTACTGTTCAACAATCGGGGAGTTATCCACTCGGTCGTTGGGGCGTTTGGCAAGGACGAGGTGCGGTTGTTCCGGCAGTGCAACCTGGCGGCGGGAGAGGCGCCACTGGCGTATGAGGCATAATCAATAGACTTATATAAATTAATGATATTAATCTCACGACTCTCGAAAATCTCGCTTCATTTTCATACTTGTGCCTCTGGTGGAGGTTTGCTCTTGCTCGTTTTAAGCAGATATACGACGGCAAATGTCCTGCAACGCGGCCGCCTTTCAAGTAGCACATCCTATGTATTCCGGTTATCGATCCATCGAGAAGACCATCATCATCATATCCTCATATGAGGGGTTATATGCATTGGGTATATAACAGCCTGTCTAATTACTATTAGGTATGTTCACTTTAACTTTTATGCACATCCATCGTCTATCGTCTATCATCTATCATCGCTCATCCATCCATCCTTATTTTGTCTAGCGCGCGAGTTCCTATTACTGTTAGCTTGGCAAATAGCATACCACGGATGTGAACTTACACTCGCGAGCTTGCTCTTCGCGCGGATCCGACCGCCGTATAAGACAAGGACCCATGGTACTAGGGTCAGAAGAAGGCCCTATTATTCTTAGTATCATACAGGGGCGGTGTGGGAATTCAGACAAAACTTACAATTCCACCAAGGAGACTCGATGCACCAGGATATCCGAGGTTGGTGAACATGGCATTGGTGACGAGAGGGAAAACACCACCCAGCAGGTTTCGGCCTGAACGGATCAGCATGTTGCCTTTGATCCGGATGTCTTGTATTAGGAGTAAAACTTACAGCACGACTGGGCAGCAATCGCAGAACTGGCATACCGATGGTAGGTATCCGCCAGGTAGTTGAACACGGCCAGGTAGACCGCGAAGATTCCCATGGTAGCGCAGGCAATTGCCAGCGTCGGGACAATCCATGGAACAGATGAGTATGAAGTCCAGCCAAACCAGAACAGTCCGATGGGCATCAGGATGGCTTCAACGCAGACAAAGTACAGTCGAGCCTCGGGTTTCTTGGGGAGAAACCCGTACTTGTTGGCGATCTTGTCTTGCAAGATGCTGACGACCGTGATAATGATGGCACCAACACACATCGCTGGTGATGTTAGCAACTGGTAGGTCAAAGATGGGAAGGGCAATCATACAGGCAAAGACAGCTCCAGTCTGCTCGGTAGTGAAATGGTGATTGGTTTTGAAAACCAAGGGGATCGAACCGAACTGCAGGTACAGAACAGCCCAGCTAAAAGAAACCCAGAGGGAGAAAAAGAAGACCACAGGTTCTGTGAATAGCATGTCTGAAACTACATCAGTCCTGACCCCTAAAGATGTTGTGAGCGATACTTACGGAATGGACGATAGCAGGAAATGCTGATCATCTGCACAAGAGACTCGCGCTGCTCGTCACTCTTCACTTTCCATCTGATTCGTTTGGCCTCGTTCTTCTCGCCCATGATGACTCCAAAGTGCCCGGCAGCCTCGAGCTGCTCATAGTAGTTGTTCACGGCCTTTGCTTTGCGGCTCAACAGGACACTTCCGCGCGTCTCTTTGAAAAAGAAATAGATGACCACCACGAAGAAAGCTGACACGATGGCATGCGACCAGTAAATCCAGCGCCAGGACGTGTGCGCTACGATCGCACTGGAGCATAAAGGCGCCAATCCAGTTCCAAAGAGCGCGGCACCGGAGAACAAAGCCATAGGGGTATTGCGTTCCTCGGCATGAAAAATGTCGCTAATCACACCACCAACCATGGTCGAAAAGGTCGCTGTCGCCAGTTAGCTACGCAGCCACGGTATGATCTTGACCGTCTGTACATACATGCACCCACACCCTGAAACAGTCGCGCAATAATAAGTCCTGCGAAAACATGCGTGCCTCCGCAAGCAATAATGCACGCTATGCCTGTCAGCCTCCATCGTAATCCACGGGCGCGAATTGCATACCAGTAAAAAGCACACCACTTGCGACAAAAATCGGTCGCCGACCATTAATTTCCGAAAAGGGTGCCAGAACCATCGGTGCCAGCGCAAAACCGACACAGAAAATCGTAATGCTCAAATCGTATACCACCGCACTAATCCCCCACTCAGCCGTCAGCTCCGTCGATGCTGGGTTGACCTCGCCTGCCGAATAACCAGCCAGTGCGGTCACTGCGCACGCAATCCATGTCATCATCCACTTGCGCCATTTCGGCCAGAGGAACGGGGAGGTGTATTTCTCGAGACTCGGGGGTTCGGGAGGGGGCGATTGACCGGGACCCGGGGGTGCAGTGATTAACGGTGTCGGCAAGGGTGTCTCCAGCTCGAGGTAGAGGTATTCGATCTCCTGCGCAGCGACATCTTTTTCTTGACTGAAGACGGAGTTGATAGGGCGATCCAACTCGGGGGAGTAGACGGTATCTGCGGAGCCCGACTCACTCGGAGAAGGGGCCTCGTGAGTATGCATTCCCGCGACAGGCTGCTCTGGCTGTGAGGCTATTATTGCTCGATGCAGAAATTGTGTGTGCCATTACTGGCGCCGGGACAGGGCCCTTTTTAAACGATGACGATCCAGCGTTCCAGCCAGCGCGGGAGTTTAGTGCCGATGGGACCAATTTGGAGAAAGTTGATTATCAACGTCGAAGGATTGATTACTTTGATTCCACTAAACAGTTGG